GTAGAGACGGGGTCTCGCTCTTGCTCAGGCTGGTTTCGAACTCCTGACCTTGAGCGATCCTCCCACCTCGGCCTCCCAGAGTGCGAGTACAATGTCTGGTTCTTTCTCCACCAATGGTCAACCTTGTGCTCATCAGCCCAGAGAGGAGGGAACTTAACACGGCTCCTTGACTCGGGCCATGTTTTAAGCTCGCTGAAGCCAGGATGGTGGCGCTTTCAAACTCTCCAAGCTCCAGAACTTTCCTGCCTGCTTAGGCGGATCTCTACCCAAAAACAAGTGTGCTACCTGGAGTCTGTCATTCCTCTTCCTGGATGTCCACCTGCCTTAAGCCACAGCCACCCTCGCCCATCCCACAGGGCAGCTGCCCACACCCCACCGTTGTGTCCCTGGCACCCAGGGTGGGTGACATTGAGGTCGAGCTGCTGCTTTCTGCTTCCCTGCTCCCCGCAGCCCCCTTTCTCTGTACCCAGAGACGCTGCCCTGGCTTGCCGTCCTGCCCAGCGTGCTGGAAGCGCTGCAGACCACGCCTTGGCAAGAGGCAGCAGGCAGCTGCGTGCTCCACCTGGCAGCCCCGCCTAGATAGGAAAGAAATCTCAGCCCAAACTGTGAGCGAGCCTGAGCCTCCAGGCTTCCTCTCTTGCCGCCTGCCCCCTGTCCCTGCTGCGAGGGTCCGTGGCCAGCACTTCAATACTCTTGGAGTTCGGGCGCGGCGGCTCAGGCCTGATACCACACTCTGGGAGCCGCAGGCGGGAGGATCGCCAAGGTCAGGATGAGACCAGTGAGCAAAGCGAGACCGCCCGTCCTTACTAAACATAGACAAAAACTAATTGGAACAACTAAAAAATATAACGAAAAATGACGGGCATCGTGCGCATGCCCTGTAGTTCAGCTGCTCGGAGGCTGAGGCCAGAGGACGCTGATGCCCAGGAGTTGAGTTGCTGTGAGCTAGCTGACGCCATGTGCCTCTCTAGCTTAGCAACAGAGTGAAGTTGTTCCAGAAAACCACAAAAACAGAAAAACACCTACTTGTAAGAAGTTCTTTCCCCTTTTTAAGCAGAGCCGAGTAAAGAATGCCCACAACCTGTGGAAATGACCGACGCGGACCACCTCCTCTGCCCCACTGTGGCCCAGGTTGTCTGCTGTTTCCAACCGCCTAGTTTGGCGTTCAACTCGGGGGCGAGAACGAAAAATTTCCCTTTCTCTCCTGAAGTTTGGATTAAATCAATTCACAAAAGAAAGATGATTGAGAAAGCATATATTTTTTTTGAGACAGAGTCTCATGTCGCTTGCCCGGGCTAGAGTGCCTGTGGCGCAGCCTAGCTCACAGCAACTCCTCCTGGGCTCAACCATCCTCCCGCTAGCCTCCCGAGTAGCTGGGATACAGACAGTGTCACCAGCCCGGCTAATTTTTTCCGATATATTTTAGTTGTCCAATTACATTCTATTCTATATACTAGAGCGCGGGGTCCCGCTCTTGCTCCAGGCTGCGTTCGAACCTCCTGACTTGAGCGCCTCCTCCCTTGCGCCTCCAGAGTCTAGGATGACAAGCGTGACCACCTCGCCCGGCCAAGCATATAAAATTTATCTGATCATATTTACGTGACCTGGGAGCTGCCTTCAGAACGAAGACGATCCCGCCAGACAGGTGCAGAAGCTTTTCCAGACATCTTGAGTACAGAAAGGTATGGGCTTGACTTGTGTCAGGTTTCAGTCTGCAAACGTGGTTCTTGGTGTGCTCCTAGCCTGGAATAGACCAGAATACGCCAAAGTTAGGAGCATCGAAAATGAGGTTTATTGAGGGAGAGAAAAACAGTGATTACAGGGCAGACAACATCCTACCCCGTTCCACAAAAAATAACCTACCCATCAAAGAAGCCTTAGCAAGATTTCTAAGAATGCTGCACACTTAGAAGCCTACCAAAAATCAGCCCCTAGTGAATGGCGTGGCTATAAAAATCAGCCCTATGGCGGCGTGGCTATGAAAAACCCCTAGTGAGGGCGTGGTTATGAAATCAGCCCTAGTAATGGCCGTGGTTATGAAATCAGCCCTCGTCTGTGATAAGAATGGCATGGTTTATGAAATCAGCCTAAGTGATGGGCGTGGCTATGAAATCAGCCCTAGTGATGGGCAGGGCCATGAAAACCCAGTGTGGCGTGGTTAGAAAAGCCACCTCATAATGGGGCCTGCTATGAAAAACCCTAGGACGGCGTGGTGCGCAGCAACATCTGCACAACCCATCCGTTTCGCGGAGCGGAAGGAACACCGACACCCTTCTCATCACCCCGTGAAGTCTAGTGCTCCACAGGAGATGCGGGCAGTGGTTCTCAAAGGAAATAATCCGCAAGAAATTCAGATGGGAATTCGGGTTGGAGAGTGAGGAGATGTCCAGAAGAAGACGACTTCACCTATTTGAAATCAATGAGGATGGTTGTACGTACTAAACAAAAAATAACACATCCCCTGAAAATAAGCCCTAGGGTGTCTTCTTGAGGAAAAATAAATATAAGACCCTGTCTTATTTTCAGGGAATCACAGTAGGTTTACAGAGCAAGATACATACACCACAGATGACAACTGGACCCATTGTCACAGCAAAGGGAGACCAAAAGGAAGGGTGCAAAAATAAACAAACAAATAAATAAATAAAGGGCCTGGTTACAGTCTGCATCTTGTTTTATAGTACCCGGATAGGGCCCTCCCTTGTGGCTCAGAGGTCTCCATGCAACCACTCTGATTGGACAGTTGGGAGTCACATGACCTGAGCCTCAACTACGCATGGGGGTTGTTGTAGGTCAATTTCCAGACTCTATGGTACCGATGCGGCTTGGCCCGTGGGCTAGAGAGTCCTCTGCGTTCTTTCGCAGCTGGCGCACTAAGTTCTGATTGGCAGATTCTAGGGTATTCCCGCCTCCCCAGCTATGACAACCACCAGGGAGAGTGGGGTGGGGCAGGACCAAGATGGGGGCCTCGGCACCCCCTTTCGTCCCTAGGAGACCCAGAATCCCTCACCACCCACCTAACACATCCTGGCAAAAGAAGTGTTGGGAGGAGGGGGGAGAGTTTGAGGTTGCTGTGAGCGAGGCTGACGCCATGGCACTCACTCTAGCCTGGGCAGCAAAGCAAGACTCTGTCTCAGAAAAAAAAAAAAAAGTCTGTCCAGGTTTGTTGGCAGACGTTTGTCTTCCTTCCTGGGATATCAGTTCAGTTCATGAAAACTCAGGAAAGGGACCAGAAATAATTGTTTTCTTTCTTAAGAAAAGATTGTTTTCTTTGATAGGGCCAGACTTTAGGCAGATGAGGGAACTTCGGAGAACAACTTTATCCTATTCTTTGGGAGAAATACTAGGGGGACGGGGGACCTGGAGGCTTTCTTTTCAGTTCAACATTTTGCCATATTTGGGGGTATCGGCTTCTGAGCCCCAACACTGTTAACTGCTACTGAACAACAAATAAATTACAAATATTGTTGGGGATGGATACACCACCCCAAAATATGAAGGACTGTTGAGCTGAAGGCGATTAAGCAGCAGCAGATGCGGGAGAGCTCTCTGTCCTCCTTGCCTAAAAGCAGGACATAGATTTACAAAGACAAAAGGAATCCTGCTCCCACTTCTATCAGGGAGAACAAAGGTTGACGCTGAAGATAACTTGGAACCTTCCAGGCCTGGAGATGGTACCAGAGGAACCTACATAACAAGCTTGACTAACTAGCCTTTATCTACCAGTGATTGCCTTCCAGCAAGTTGCTGGCCCTACAGCCTCAAAGCCCTTTCCTTCGTCTTGTGACATCTCTAAAAATACTCGTTTAATATGAGAATCAAGCCGTATTTTCCCCACCGATATGAATTATGCCATCCCCCCCAAAAGCAAATACAGAGAAATTTTTAAACAATTTTTGTTTCAAATTCATACTTTATTATATACATGTTCTCATTTACTCTTTACAACAATGCAGCAAGAACCCACTTTATGCATTAAGAAACTGAGGTACAGGAAGTTAGAAAGTTTGTTTAAGATCATATACCTGGTAAATGATCCATGGTAGATACAAACCCAGGTTTGTCTGATTCCAAATTCAAGTGTAAAAGTACTATGTGGGCCAGAGCATGGTGGTTCACACCTGTAATTCTAGCACTTTAGGAGGCCAAGGCAGGAGGATAGCTTGAGGTCAGGAGTTCAAGACCAGCCTGAGCAAGAGTGAGACCTCGTCTGTACAAAAAATAGAAAACTTAGCCGGGTGTGATGGCGTGTGCCTACAGTCTCAGCTACTTGGGAGGCTGAGGCTAGAGACAGGCTCAGCCCAGGAGCTTGAGGTTACAGTGAGCTATGATAACGCCACTGTACTCTAGCCAGAGTGCCAGAGTGAGACCCTGTCTCAAAATCAAACAAACGAAACAAAACTATTATGCCATATTGCTTCTTGTACAATGTCCTTAAAGATAGAACTTATTCATCTGTAAAATTAGTTTTCAAATAAGTTCATTTTCATGCAAATCTACATATGCAGCATAAAAGTTAGTTAAATTTGTAAAATTCTGGAAAGAACAAAATAAATAAAATAAAAACTCTGGGCAGATGCAGTTTGACAGAGAATTGTAATGGTGTCAAACCTCTTGCTTTTTCTGTCACGCACGGTAAGCATCTCTGAGTGTGAGTGAAGGGACACAGATTGGTGGAGATGTGATCATTTAAGGTAACCTGCCCCCTAAATATTAGCTACCGATTACACAGAGCATTTTGATTTTTCCAGAAGGCTTCACCGCGTCCATGTTTTTTTCTAGGTAACGAGGGAGGCTGGCAAAGTAACAGGAAGCATGATCTGTGTTCTCAGGGCTCGCTGGAGGAGGGTCTGAGGCAGGATCGGCTACCGGGGAACACGGGACTCAGGGGGAAAGGGAAAGCAAAGGCCACCAACACAAGGAAGAGCCAGTGGCTTCAGGTCAGCCGCGGTGCTGAGGCAGCCCCAGAAGGTTGCGGGGAAATAGCGAGGATCATAAGGCAGGCTCTCATTGTCCCTTTTATTGCATGCCAGAGTCCCCACATCTGCTAAGCACACGATGACAGGTAGACAGGTCACAGCAGCAGTGGCTATTTGAAGATCATGGTGCTGTTTCCTGGAGATCTTTCTTTTTTTTTTTTAAGGGGACAGAATATAAACTGACAGTACCTTAATAGGGAACTAAGTCATCTTAAGTTATGTGTTCTCAATAGATAACTGGGGTCTAACGGATGTGGCTGTCTGCAGTTAACGTATAAGAGGCTGTGACAACGCCCGGACCCTCTGGGAACATTGAGCTTTCAAAGCAGACGGCTTGACGTTAAAGACCTCTGGGTCGTAGTACACAATATGCATAGGAGACCTGAAACGGGAAGAAAAGAAATCAGCCCAAAGTGAGATGAACAGAAAAGGAGACTGACATATCTCAGGCACCCACTATGTGTCAGGCACTACAACATTATCCCATTTTGATTTTCACGGCCTACTATGCTACACGGACTAGGAAATGAAGGCTCGGACAAGTGACACGAATGACCTACGGTCAAATCCAAATTTGCGTATCTGTCAGATTCCAAAGGCTCTTCTCTTTCCACAGAAAGTAAATTCTGGATGTTTCCCAGTTTTGAACTTGAGTTTTGGAATCAGACAGACCTGGGGTTGCGGCCCGCATGGATCACTCACCATAACGTAGTTTGGCAACATGAAAACAGGCCAGATAGTTCTCTGGTGGACTTGAAAAAAATCAAATTTTTGAAGTTTATCACCTTTAGCACCTAACCACCAAATAACAACTGTGCCACCAGGATAGAACCTTGATGAAGCACTCGATCATGCTCTTCTCTTCCCTTCCATGAACAGGGAATGAGCTTCATTTCATTTGGTGACTTATTTTTTTTAAGAAGGATAAACACATTCTATTTTCAACATGTTATTATATACAAACTCGCATATTTTCTTTTCCCTGCGCTCAAGACTTCTACAATTTTTTCTGCCTCTCCTAGTTTTTCCTGATGATGCTTAAAGAGGGGGAATCGGGTGTTTACTCATCGAAGGGAACAAAATGAATCGAGGTTCGGGCAGGTTAAGAGGTCCTTCAAAAAATAAACAGGAATGAGAGGCAATTTCTTCCTTGTTAATTATATTTTCTTATCTATTTGATATAGGTCCTATAAGTACATGATGCAAAACACTGAAAAAATATAAAAGCTTAGTTAGTAAAACAATTATAAAAACTTAGTTTCCTCCTATGCCAGTTGCCTAAGCCCTCAAGGCAACCATTATTAGCAGCTTCTCATAAACTCTTCTGAGATAGTATAGACATATGCACATGAATATATGGCACAGATAATGTACTTTCTTACACAAACTACAAGATATGATATGCTCTGCTCTACAACTTGTTTCACTTAATAATATATATTAGATAACTAATTCTATATCCACACTTTCAGAGCTTTTAACATGGCCAAATTATGCCATAGCAAATGATCCGTGAGGGCCACAAACCCAGGTCTGTCTGATTCTAGAACTCAAGTTCAAAAATGAGAAACGTCCAGAATTTACTTTCTGTGGAAGGAGAAAGGCCTTTGGAATCTGACAGATATGCAAATCTGGATTTGACCGTAGATCATTCGTGTAACTTCTCTGAGCCTTCATTTCCTAGTTCTAAATTTCAATACCTCGTCCACTAAACTTTGAACAGTACATATATATACATATAAATACATATATAGTTTATATATATACTATATATAGTATATATATACATATATATGTATATATACATATATAGTATATATAGTATATATATACTATATATAGTTTATTGTATATATATACATATATACACATATATACATGTATACATATATATGCGTATATATACACACACACATATATATATATATTAAGACCACAGATTTGTCATAATAAATGTAACTGGTGAGATGTTTTAGAAATTTTTTGTATTTCTAGAATTCTTTTTATAGGCCTCGTTCTGTCAACTTTCCCCCTCTCCCCAGAGCCCCAGCCTTTCCCGTCTTACTTTAGCCTTAAATTGACATACCTTGCATTTGGATTAGCTAGCTCATAGATTCTGGGCGACACTCTGCAGTGGGTGGCGGCGTAAGACACTGGCCAGTAGGTATCCCGGATGGGGAGGTAATCCCGATGAAGAGGCTTGGGCTTGGCTAGAGCGATTGTTCGGGGGCCAGCAACGGCTTGCTTGGCGGCCAGGGCTACCTACAGTAGAAAGAAAGAGACACAAAAATATATCCCAAATGTCACCAAACACCAAACACCACTCAGCAGCCCTGAAAGTGTTCAGCATTACGCTGGCACTGAGTTGATTTGGGTTCTAAGAGTTTGGCTTTTTGCAATGTCTTTTTTCTAAAGACTTTTTTTTTTCTTTTTTCTTTTTTTGGAGACAGAGTCTCGCTGTGTTGCCTGGGCTAGAGTGTCGTGGCGTCAGCCTAGCTCACAGCAACCTCAATCTCCTGGACTCAAGCGATCCTCCTGCCTCAGCCTCCCGAGCACCACCATGCCCAGCTAATTATATATATGTATATATATATTTTTTTAGTTGGCCAATTAATTTCTTTCTACTTTTAATAGAGATGGGGTCTCGCTCTTGCTCAGGGTGGTCTCAAACTCCTGAGCTCAAAAGATCCGCCCACTTCGGGCTCCCAGAGTGCTAGGATTATAGGCGTGAGCCACCACGCCTGGCCCATTTTTTTTTTTAAACTCCAAACAATGATATGGACAGATACCTATAATTCCTATTTACATACCAAAAAAACTGAGAATAAAGTCAGTTTGCCTGAGGGCAAACTGCCTGACGCTCATTTGCCTGAGTGTCACAAGGAAAGTCACTTTAGCCAACTCAGAACACTCTCCCAAGGCGTGAAGGTTTTCTTCCCTGACAGAGTTCCGTATGCAATCCTCAAGTTCCCAGAGAGAGCGTAAAACTGCTTCCACCACCTTTGGCAACATGATCATGAGCTATTTATTGAAAACCCAACTGCGATAGGGCACACCACGGTGGCACTCCAATTAACGGAGGGAAATGTCAAGGCACAGGGGCAGAGGAGTGAGGCCTTGTGCTGAGTGCCAAGCCTTCCATTCTCCCTGAGCTCAAGACTTCTACAATTTTTCTCCCTCTCCTAGTTTTCCTGATGATGCTTAAAGAGGGGAATCGGGAGTTTACTCATCGAAGGGAACAAAATGAATCGAGGTTCAGGCAGGTTAAGAGGTCCTCCAAAAAGTAAACAGGAATGAGAGGCCATTTCTTCTTTGTTAATTATATTTTCTTATCTGTTTGATATAGGTCCTATAGGTACATGATGCAAAACATTGAAAAAATATAAAAGCTTAGTTAGTAAAATTAAATAAAAACTTAGTTTCCTCCTATGCCAGTTGCCTAAGCCCTCAAGGCAACCATTATTAGCAGCTTCTCATAAACTCTTCTGAGATAGTATAGACATATGCACATGAATATATGGCACAGATAATGTACTTTCTTACACAAACTACAAGATATGATATGCTCTGCTCTACAACTTGTTTCACTTAATAATATATATTAGATAACTAATTCTATATCCACACTTTCAGAGCTTTTAACATGGCCAAATTATGCCATAGCAAATGATCCGTGAGGGCCCCAAACCCAGGTCTGTCTGATTCTAGAACTCAAGTTCAAAAATGAGAAACGTCCAGAATTTACTTTCTGTGGAAGGAGAAAGGCCTTTGGAATCTGACAGATATGCAAATCTGGATTTGACCGTAGATCATTCGTGTAACTTCTCTGAGCCTTCATTTCCTAGTTCTAAATTTCAATACCTCGTCCACTAAACTTTGAACAGTACATATATATACATATATACATATATATGTATATATACATATATATAGTATATATAGTACATATATATGTATATATACATATATAGTATATATAGTATATATATACTATATATAGTTTATTGTATATATATACATATATACACATATATACATGTATACATATATATGCGTATATATACACACACACATATATATATATATTAAGACCACAGATTTGTCATAATAAATGTAACTGGTGAGATGTTTTAGAAATTTTTTGTATTTCTAGAATTCTTTTTATAGGCCTCGTTCTGTCAACTTTCCCCCTCTCCCCAGAGCCCCAGCCTTTCCCGTCTTACTTTAGCCTTAAATTGACATACCTTGCATTTGGATTAGCTAGTTCATAGATTCTGGGCGACACTCTGCAGTGGGTGGCAGCGTAAGACACTGGCCAGTAGGTATCCCGGATGGGGAGATAATCTCGATGAAGAGGCTTGGGCTTGGCTAGAGCGATTGTTCGGGGGCCAGCAACGGCTTGCTTGGCGGCCAGGGCTACCTACAGTAGAAAGAAAGAGACACAAAATGTCACCAAACACCAAACACCACTCAGCAGCCCTGAAAGTGTTCAGCATTACGCTGGCATTGAGTTGTTTTGGGTTCTAAGAGTTTGGCTTTTTGCAATGTCTTTTTTCTAAAGACTTTTTTTTCTTTTTTCTTTTTTTGGAGACAGAGTCTCGCTGTGTTGCCTGGGCTAGAGTGCCGTGGCATCAGCCTAGCTCACAGCAACCTCAATCTCCTGGACTCAAACCATCCTCCTGCCTCAGTCTCCCGAGTAGCTGAGACTACAAGCATGCACCACCATGCCTGGCTAATTTTATATATATAAATATTTTTTTTTTAGTTGGCCAATTAATTTCTTTCTACTTTTAATAGAGATGGGGTCTCGCTCTTGCTCAGGGTGGTCTCAAACTCCTGAGCTCAAAAAATCCGCCCGCTTCGGGCTCCCAGAGTGCTAGGATTATAGGCATGAGCCACCACGCCTGGCCCATTTTTTTTTTTAAACTCCAAACAATGATATGGACAGATACCTATAATTCCTATTTATATACCAAAAAAACTGAGAATAAAGTCAGTTTGCCTGAGGGCAAACTGCCTGACGCTCATTTGCCTGAGTGTCACAAGGCACGTCACTTTAGCAAACTCAGAACACTCTCCCAAGGCGTGAAGGTTTTCTTCCCTGATAGAGTTCCGTATGCAATCCTCAAGTTCCCAGAGAGAGCGTAAAACTGCTTCCACCACCTTTGGCAACATGATCATGAACTATTTATTGAAAACCCAACTGCAATAGGGCACACCACGGTGGCACTCCAATTAACGGAGGGAAATGTCAAGGCACAGGGGCAGAGGAGTGAGGCCTTGTGCTGAGTGCCAAGCCTTCCACAGCAGATACCCGTGGGAACCCTGATCACAATTCCCTCGCTCGCCTTGCTCCACCCAGCTTCAAGCCCATCCCAACTTTAGTACTTTGACACGTGCTCTTCCCTTTACTGGAATATTCTCCCAGATCTCAGATCTTCACTTGGCTGACTCCTCATCACTGGGGTTTCAGCTCACACCCTCCTCCCTTAGCAAGGCCTTCCCTGACTACCAAATGCAAAGTAGGTATGCCCCTGCCCCGATAGTCACTCATTGCCTCAGTGCTATGTTCTTCAAGCACTTCTCACTATCTGACATTATCTATTTACTTGTTTGTTGTTTACTTGTCTCCCCTCATTAGCATGGAGCGCCATGCTGTTCATTGGGATCAGTGTCTGGTGCACAGTAGGTGTTCAAATACTTGTTGAATGCACATGGCTTAGGAACGTAGCCAATATCACAGAGCCAGTAGTGGCAAGGCTGGGATTTGAACACCCATGCTCTTGGCCTTCTACTCCTCTGCCTCTCTCCATAACACATGGCTAAGTCTTCCTCCCTACCGCAGATCACTCTTTCAAGATTCTCTTTTCTGATGACTCTGAGCTATGCCCTGTAGTGGCAAAATAGCACCCCAGGAGCAACCAGAGAGTGAGCCAAAGGATGTCGAAGCGGTAATGGCTTACGGGACGGATGGGCAGTTCACTTCTTTGTCTTTCATAGCACAGGCCCTCTATCTTGAGCCTTGGGTGGGCAAGGTCTACAATTCTTGGAGATGCAATAGCATGCAGGGTAGAAACTGGAATATTGGTTGCAATCTAAGGGAGAAAAATAAAACAATACCTGTAAGTATCAAATAATAAACACTGTCTAGTTCAAGATGACTAAGTCTGTGATCAGACTGCTCAGCAATCCAGCAGAAAGGGTTGAGAATCTTGGAATAACTTGTGATTATAACCGAGAGAGTCCATTTCCATCCTTCTCAAACTGGATTGAAGGGCTTCCAACCCAGCTTCTCAGGAACTTAGCTGTGAAACTAAAGATGTGGAGGAAATTGCAAACAGTGTTACATACTGACTCAGAGATAACTGGTAATGTCGATTTGTGGACTGATACACTCAGCCCAGAGGGAAGACTCAGTCCTGTCATAGAACACCATGAGGTGTAGACTCTGCTTTGTTCTTAATTATTTTTCCCCCTTGGAAATTGGAACTCACATTATCCCAAATCACCATGCTTAAATGGAATGTAAGTGGCTGTCTTCTAACTGGAATAGATCAGAAAAAGAAACCAAAGCCAATAAGAGGAGAAGCAGAACCAAAGTCTTCCATTAGACGCCCAAGTCATCCTCACTATCTTGATCGTGGTCATTTGTTCAAATTACATGGTCTTCTATTTAAATTACTTGTATTCAAACTCTAAACTCACCACAAGACTTTGAAAGGGAACATGATCAAGAACTAAAAATAAAATGGGGCTTTAACTGTGGGTGGAAATATAATACATAAGGTATTTTCCAAATTCCTTCTGTGTTGTTTAAATGATGATGATGATGATGATGATAGTTACTGACAGCATCTCACATGTACTAATTCATTTATTCCCCACCTGGGGTAGCATTTTTATTTCTATCTCTCTAATAGAGAAACCGAAGTACCGTGAGGTTCAGTAATCTGCATCAGTCTATATAGTTAATAAGGGGCAAAGCTGGGATTCAAACCGAAAGTCCTGCCTGTCTGAATAACACCACGAAGTACAGATGCATTATGAGTATCTCCTGTGAATAAAGCTTTGTCTACTATTGGGCTCTGAGAAAATCAAAGAAATACATGACAACCATTGCCTTCAATTAAAGCTTATGATCTAAAAGGAAATAAAATAATAATTCACTAATTCAATTCATTAAACAAATACTTCTTTTCCTTTTCTTTTCTTTTTTTTTTTTTTTTGAGACAGAGTCTCACTTTGTTGTCCAGGCTAGAGTGAGTGCCGTGGCGTCAGCCTAGCTCACAGCAACCTCAAACTGCTGGCCTCAAGCGATCCTTCTGCCTCAGCCTCCCGAGTAGCTGGGACTACAGGCATGCGCCACTATGCCCGGCTAATTTTTTTTATATATATATCAGTTGGCCAATTAATTTCTTTCTGTTTATAGTAGAGACGGGGTCTCGCTCTTGCTCAGGCTGGTTTTGAACTCCTGACCTTGAGCAATCCGCCCGCCTCGGCCTCCCAAGAGCTAGGATTACAGGCGTGAGCCACAGCGCCCGGCCTTCCTTTTCTTTTTGAGACAGAGTCTCACTCTGTTGCCCAGGCTAGAGTACCGTGGTGTCAGCCTAGCTCACAGCAACCTCAAACTTCCGGGCTCAAGCAATCCTCCTGCCTCAACCTCCCAAGTAGCTGGGACTACAGGCATGCGCCACCATGCCCAGCTAATTTTTTCTATGTATATTAGTTGGCCAATTAATTTCTTTCTATTTTTAGTAGAAACAGGGTCTCTCTCTCTCTTGCTCAGGCTGGTCTCGAACTCCTGAGCTCAGGCGATCCTCCCACCTCGGCCTCCCAGAGTGCTAGGATTATAGGCATGAGCCACTGCGCCCAGCCTAAACAAATATTTATTAATAAATTATCACAGACCTATAGGCAAATCATTTAGATTATTTGATACCCATAAGAGGAAAGAAATAAAGTATTTAGAGATGTCAGAGAAAAGGTGGGAGAGTCCAGAAAGATTCTCTTTTCAGGGATAATGAGACATTGGATTGGACCTTGAAGGAAGGCTCGGATTTTGATAAGTAAAGGGAGAAGGAAAGCTAGGGAGGGTGAAGGAAGGAAAGTGGAAGGGAAGAAAGACTGAGAACAGGAGCAAGGGAGCTCAGAGCAGGTAGTCTCTGGTCACAGCAGGGAGATCAGGCTTGAAATGCATTTGAAACTAGATTAGATGGTGCGGGGCATTCTTCATAGCCAAGGAAGAACCGTCAGATCTTTTCATTAGAGAAGAAGCATGATCGCAGCTGGAAATGACCCTGAGAGCAATGTATGCACAGACACAGGAAGCAGGATGGACATGAGAAAGTTGCAGCAGGATAAATACAAAGAAAAATAGGACAGGATACAATAAATACAAGGAAATCATATGTAGGCTTATGATAGTCACACTACTGAAAAACAAAGATAAAGCAAAAAGCTTGACATAGCCAGAGGAAAGGTGATTCTAAATTTTATGTGAAAATGCAAAAGACTTAAAACAGCCAAAAATAAATTTAAAAAGAACAAAAGTGGAGGACTTGAGGACTTATACTATCTTATTTTAAGAGTTATTATAAAACTATAGTAATCAAGACAGTATGATATTGATGTCAAAATAGACAAGTAAATGATTAGAACAGAATTGGAAGTGCAGAAGTGGACCTAAGGTAATTCAAGAGGGAAAAGAAAGTCTTTCATTAAATGGTGTTGGGAGGCCAGGAGCGGTGGCTCATGCCAGTAATCCTAGCACTCTGGGAGGCGGAGGCGGGAGGATTGCAAGATCAGGAGTTCAAGACCAGCCTGAGCAAGAGCGAGACCCCGACTCTACTAAAAATAGAAAGAAATTAATTGGACAACTAAAAGTATATAGAAAAAATTAGCCGGGCATGGTGGCACATGCCTGTAGTCCCAGCTACTCTGGAGGCTGAGGCAGTAGGATGGCTTGAGCCCAGGAGTTGGAGGTTGCTGTGAGCTAGGCTGATGCCATCGCACTCTAGCCTGGGCAACAGAGTGAAACTCTGTCTAAAACAAAAACATGGTGTTGGGAAAACTGGATATCCATGTGGGGAAAACCCCCACAAAACTTCAAACTCTGTCTCACATATACAACAAAAATCAATTCAAAGTGGATCATTATACATAAGCACAAAAGTAAAAATTATAAAGCTTCTAAAGGAAAATATAGAATAGCTTTACAACCTGGGAGTAAACAAAGATTTCTAGTCAGTACATCAAAAGCATTAGTCATAAAAGAAAAATAAAGACAAATTGAGCTTCCTCAAATTTAAAACATTTTTTCTTATTAACCACTTCGGTATGAGCATTGACTATAGTTGACAGCCACAGATGAACGTGTGCAGTGACTTTAGCCGACAGCCGTGATAATGACTTCTCTAATTTTTCTTTTATCAAAATAAAATTGTGAACATTTAAAAATAACGTCATGAAAACATATATGTACATGTTACCTATTCTGATTTACATGACAAGTAAAGCTGCCTGTAAAGTCAAACAAGCTTTCAGTGCTTTCAAGCTTTCCTCATCACACAAGAGCAAAACGGACTCGTCGTCAATGCACAGCACAAATTACCATGCAGACTATGAGTGCCGGCTTTGGGCAAGGTTTTGAAGCCGGTGAGCACCGTACCGAAGTGGTTAAAGGATATCATTAACAAAATTAATAGGTTAGCCATAGACAGGGAGAAAATATTTGCAAATACATAACTCTGAAAAAGGACATGCATCCAGAATAAATGAATAATATTTACAAGTCATTAATAAAAGGAAAATAACCCAATTTTTCCAGTGGGCATGAGCTTTAATAAGTCAGAAAATTTTTTTACTCAAACAGATTTAGAAAATCCTAAGCAAAACCTTTTAAAAACTACCACTTAACTAAATGGCAGAAGTTACAAATGCCAACAAGCACATGCTAAATATTCAATATCAGTAGCTATCCTGGATGCGAGTTAAAAACCACAATGAGATACCACTATCTCACCAAAATGGCTAATTTTGGGGGGACGAGGGACGGGGGGACAGAGTCTCACTCTGTTGCCCTGAGTAGAGTGCTGTGGCATCAGCCTAACTCACAGCAACCCCAAACTCCTGGGCTCAAGCGATCCTCCTGCCTTGGCATCCCGAAGTGCTAGGATTATAGGCGTGAGCCACCGCACCCAGCCTCATGTATAACTTTTGACTCCCCTAAAACTAGTCTAAAAATAGTCTACAGTTGCCTAGAAACCTTACTGACAACACAAACAGTCAATGAACTCATAATTTGTGTGCTATATGTATTATATAATGTATTCTTACAATAGAGTAAGCTGGAGAAAAGAAAATGTTATCAAGAAGATCATAAGGAAGAGACAATAGATTTACTATTCATTAAGTTGAAGTGGATGGACAAAAGGTCTTCATCCTTGTTTTCATGTTGAGTAGGCTGAGAAGGAGGAGGAGGAGGAAGGGGGGCGGTTAGTCTTGCTGTCATGGGGGGTGGGGGGGCAGAGGCAGAAGAAAATCCACAGATAAGTGGACCTGTGCAGTTCAAACCCATGTTGTTCAAGGATCAACTGTAGCTTAAATTTTTTGAAGGTGCTTAATTATCTAAGTTTGGAAACCAAATCAAACATTATTCAGGACTCCTAAAATGAATTTTTAAAAACCTGCTGGAATTATAAACAAAATGATAAAACTCACAAACCAAACTGAAAAGCCTATGAAAAACTGATTTTTAAATTCAAAGTCTTAAAAATGGGACTATTAATTATTTAAATCAAGAGCATACCTCTGAACAGTCTTTCCTGCATATAAAACCATGTCCAGGGATACTAAAAAGACTCACATCATTGGGTGTGGTCGTTTTTCTTAAGTGCCTATAAATTCTTTGATGCTTCTCTCATTGAGAGGTGGGGTTCATATCCCCACCCCCTTGAATCTGGCCAGACTTACAACTGCATCAATCAACAGGGGATGACTGCATTGATGTCACGTGACTTCTAAGGCCAAGCCATAAAAAACCATGCAGCTTCTACCTGTTCTTTTGGAAGGCTCACCTTTGAGACACTCCATCTTGGGATACTCCTTCTCAGAACACAGCTGCCCTGCTTAGAGAGGTGTAGGCCATATGAAGGTGCTCCTACAGATATTCCCAACTGAGTCTAGCCTTTATGTCATCCCAGCCTCGGTAGCACACATAGATGTTACTATGGACTGAATGTTTGTGTCCCTTCAACATTCATATGTTGAAGCTCTGTCTCTCAATGTGATGGTATTAGGAGATGGGGCCTTTGGGAGGTAATTAGCTTTAGATGAGGTCATGAGGGTGGAGCCCCATAATGGGATTAGTGTCCTTTTAAGAAAAGGAAGAGAGACAAGAGCATGCACACCATGCTCGCTCTCTCTCTCTCTCTCTCTTTCTCTCAGCAAAGAAGAGGTCATATAAGCATACAGCAAGATGGTGGCCATCTGTAAGCCAGCAAGTGGGACCTCACCAAACCGCCGGCATCTTAATCTTGAACTTCTCAGGCTCTGGAACTGTGAGAAATAAATGTCTTCTGTTTAAGCCACCCTGTCTATGGTGTTAGGTCATAGCAGCCCAAGCTAAGACAGATGTGAAGGAGCCTCTGGATGATTCCAGCCCACTACCATCTCAGACACCCAAGCCCTTACGGACTCCCTGCCCAGGCCCCAGACACCAGGGAGCAGAGATGAGCCATACTCGCTCGATCTGCCAGAATTTCTGACTCATAAAATCCTCGAGCAGAATAAAATGGTGGTTGTTTTATGCCATTAAGTTTGGGGGTGGTTTGGTATGAAGCAACAGACACCCAGAAATGAACTTTAAGGATAGGTTCTCTGTACTGGTTCTAGATTACCTGGAATTTGTTTCCTGAGCTAATTAGATTTAAAGGCATTAATGACCCTATTGCTAGTGGTTAAAAAAAAAAAAGCCACTGCTAGTCCATGGCATGCAGTGGCAAAACTGAAAGCAAGGCTCTGTGTGACCAATAGCTGCTGCCTGAAAACATTTCAGTGAAATCAAGAAGTGTAGTAGGGTTGGTTGTTTCCAAGTGCAATGGAGAACTTAAAAGAAATGATCTGCTCAGGCCTTTAAAAATCCCACTGTAAGGTCCAGATAAGGGGCCAGAAAGCTTCTGTGACTTCCCTCAAAGAAATCCTTACCTTCTATTTTATTTTATTTTATTTTTTTGAGACAGAGTCTCACTTTGTTGCCTGGGCTAGAGTGCCATGGCATCAGCCTAGCTCACAGCAACCTCAAACTCCTGGGCTTAAGCAATCCTCCTGCCTCAGCCTCCCGAGTAGCTGGGACTACAGGCATGTGCCACCATGCCTGGCTAGTTTTTTATACAAATGTTTTTAGTTGGCCAATTAATTTCTTTCTATTTATAGTAGAGACGGGGTCTCACTCTTGCTCAGGCTGGTTTTGAACTGACCTTGAGTGATCCTCCCGCCTCGGCCTCCCAGAGCAATCCTTACCTTCTATTATCACTGGGCTGAAAATCCTGAAGACCAAACTCAAAATCTAATTCTGTGAGTGGCTGAATTACAGTGAAAATTGCGGGAACTTGTACTGTCTCTTACGTTAAAGCCTGGGCAACAATCGGAAAAGAGTGGGGGACTTGAACATTGGAAGGTGGATATATGGGCAGACTCCAGTGAAGTTGGGGACTTTAAACCCCTAAATATTGCTGAGCCTTCCTTACCATTAGAATCAGCCCATCCTCTGTCAGAGAAGGTAGCTTCCCCTTGCCTAAAGAACTTCTAATGGCTTCTCCTGATGGAGACGCCTTCCAACACACTGCTGGCCTGGCCTTCCAGCTTCTTACTGCTTCTACATCTATAGCCAGACTCAAGTCCCAGCTGCCCTAGTTCTGTTTCTCTGATTCAATCCTGATGTACTAGGCAAAGAGGAGGCTGTCAGAAAAGTTCATTTGATGAGACAGAAAAACAAACAAGAAGAAAAGGGAAATACACACCTAGAAAGAAGAGGGTAGCATGTCACCAAGTCCATCAAGAACTTCATTTTTCACACGGGCTCACTTACGTCTTTTGGAGGAAGATAGTCCGGATTTGTGCCTTTGGCTATGGAGAGTCGTAATATCCGGGGAGAAGGATCAGGGAGTTGAAGAGACCCTCTTGTTGAGTAATTGCTTGATGATCTATATGCACATGGAAACAGGAACTATCATAACTAATGGAGGAAGGGACCACTGGATTTTTCTTTGTTACAATCAACTTCCAATCAATTATATATATTTCTATCTTAGGAATCTTTTCCCACCATCACGAGTGCTCTTTCTACCAGATTGGTGTTTCTCAAAAACTTTTTTACTATGATCCCCAGTAAGAAGTTCATTTTCTACTGTGATACAGTATATGCAAATGTGTGTTTGTGTATTTTAAACAAAATTATCATGAAACAATGCTGACCCTACACAACGTATTCTGATTTTTAAAAAATTTAATTTGATTTCGCTAAGGAAAAAAACTGGAATTGATTTCATGATCCATTTTGGATGGGTGGTGGTGACCTGCTGTTTGAAAAACACCTCACTTCCTGCCAAAATCTCACGTTAAATCCCTGAAATAATAATGCCAGTCACCACTGAGTCTCCTGTATAGTGCAATTTAAGATGGTTCTCGTCATCACTCCCAACCACTTGGCCAATTTTCATAGGCTGTTTTCTCTCCCTGACCAAAAATCTACTAACCAATCAACAAACCTACAAATCTAATATGGAAAGTTTTTCTCAGATAATTATATGATTTTTCTCCAGGGGTAGACCGTTAGGTTTTGTTTTATTTTTTTGCTTGTTTGTTTTACTGGTATATAATTAACATACCATAAAATTAATCTTTTTGAAGTATATTATGTAATTCAGTGGTTTCTAGCATACTCACAAAGTTGTGCAATATCATCACTATTGAATTTCAGAACATTTTCATTAACCCAAAGAGAAACCTCATACCTATTAACACTACCCATTACCCTATCTCCCCAACCCATGGAAACCATTAATCTACTCTTGGTCTCTACAAATGTCCTTATTCTGGCAATTTCAAATAAATGGAATCATATAAATATGTAGCCTTTTGTGTCTGGCTTCCTTCACTTGGCATGTTTTGAAGACATGTATCAGTAGTTCATTGCTTTTTATGGCTAAATAATATTCCATTGAATAGACTTGCCATGTTTTATTTATCCATTCATCCACTGAACACTTCATTTGCTGCCAGTTTATGGTATTATGAATAATGCTGCCATGAATATTTGTGGACAAGTTTTTGTGTGAACATGTTCCAATTCTTTTGCGTATATGCCTAGGAGTCGAATCGCTGGATCACGTGATAACTCCATGTTTTACTCTTTGAGGAATTGCCAAACTGTTTTCCATACCAGCTACACCATTCTATGCTCCCACCAGCAATGTACAAGGGTTTCCATTCCTCCACATCTTTGGCAATACATGTTATTTTCTATTTACTTTTTACTTATTATTGTTGTCATTCTTGTAAGTGTGAAGTGGTATCTCATTGTGATTTTAATTTGCATTGCCAGGGTGACGAATGACATTGAGCAACTTTTCATGTGCTTCTTGTCCATTCATATATCTTCTTTGGAGAAATGTTTATTCAAACCCTTTGCCCATTTTAAAAATTGGGTTATTTGATTTTTATTGTACAGTTTTCAGGACTTCTTACATATATATTCTGAGTACTGGTCCCTTATCAAATGTATGATATGCAAATATTTTTTCCCATTTTGGGATTTGTCTTTTCACTCTCTTGGTAGTGTCTGATGCACAAAAGTTACTTTTGATAAAAATCCAATTTATTTTTTCTTTTGTCACATGTGCTTTTGGTGTCCTATCTAAGAAACTGTTGCCTAATTAAAGACCACAGAAATCTATGCCTGTGTCTCCTTCTAAGAGTTTTATAGTTTTATCTCTTATCTTTAGGTCTGTGATCAATTTTGAATTAATTCTTTTTGTGTATGGTATGTGAAGCAGTGGTCCAACTTCATTCTTTTGCACATGGATGTCCAGCTATCTCAGCACCATTTGTTGAAAAGACTTATTTTCCTCATTAAAAATGGGGTGTCTTGATGCCCTTGCCAAAATTCAATCAGGGCCAGGTGCAGTGGCTCCCAGCACTCTAGGGAGCTGAGGCAGGAGGATTGCTTGAGGCCAGGAGTTCAAGACCAGCCTGGCCAATATAGTGAGACACCACCCTAAAATAATTTTTAAATTAGCCAGGTGTGTTGGTATGTGCTTATAGTCCTAGCTACTTGGTAGGCTGAGATGGAAGGATTACTTGAGCCTAAGAGTTCTAGGTTACAGTGAGCTATGATTGGGCCACTGCACTCCAGCCAGGGCAACAGAGTAAGACCCTGTCTCTAAAAAAATAAATAGATAAATAAAAATTCAATTGACCATAATTTTAAGGGTTTATTTCTGGACTATCAATTCTATTCCATTGATCTTGGATTCTGCACCTTCCTGAACTCATTTAAGAGCTCTAATCATTTTCATACAGATTCCTTAAGATTTTCTATATACAAGATAATGTCATTTGTAAATAGAGATAGTTTTAATTCTTCCTTTCCAATCTGGATGCCTTTTATTTCTTTTTTTTGCCTAATTCCCTGGGTATAATCTCCAGTACGACGTTGAATAGAAGTAGTAAGAGCTGACAACTTTGTCTTATTCCTGATCTTAGGAAGGAAGTATTCAGTCTTTCAACATTAATTATGTTAGCTGTGGGTTTCTTATATCTGCCCTTTATCCAGGTTGAGGAAGTTCCCTTCTATGCCTAGTTGAGTATTTTTTATCATGAAAGTGTGTTGAATTTTGTCAAATGCTTTGTTAGGGTCTGTTGAGATGATCATGTAGTTTTCATTTTTTTCATTCCATTAATTTGGTACATTACATTGATTTTAGTATTTTGAAGCCAATGTATTCTTGTATTCCTGGGATAAAGCCAATTTGATCATGGTGTATAATTATATTTTTTATTTTGTTGGAGTTGATTTGTTAGTGTTTTAGTATGAATTGTTACATGTATATTTATATTTAGTTTAATAGTACAGTATTTGGGTGTGGATTTTTGCATAAATATTCATAAGATATATTGGTCCGTAGTTTTCTTATCTTGTAATGCCCTTTTTTAGTTTTGGTATCAGGGGAATACAGACCTCATAGATGAGTTGGAAAGTGTCTTTTTTTTTTTTTTTTAATGAGTCTGAAAGAGATTCTCTAAATAGTTCATAGAATTCACGAATAAAGCCATCTGGTCCTGAGCTATTATTTGTGGGAAATTTTTAAATTATTAATTCAATCTCTTTCCTTGTTATAGGTCTGTTGCAATTTTCTCTCTTCTTGAGGCGATTTTGATAGTTTGTCTTTACAGAAATTTGTTCATTTCATCTAAGTTATTTAATGTATTGGCCTTACAATTGTTGAGAGTAAAGTTTTATAGTCCTTTTTATTTTTATAAGGTTAGTAGTAATATCTCCTCTTTTGAAAATGACCCCTTAGAAAGGTACCCTCTTTTTTCTTACCTGATTTTAGTAATCTGAGTCTTCTCTCTTTTTGTCTTGGTTAATTTAGTTAAAGGTTTGTCAATTTTGTTGATCTTTTCAAAGAACTAACTTTTGGAGTTTGTTGATTTTCTCTGTTTTTAGTCTCTATTTCATTTATTTCTACTCTAATCTTTGTTATTTCTTCCCTTCTGCTTGTTTTGAGTGAGTTAGCTTTGAAAGGTGAAGTTATAATTTGAGATCTTTTTTCTTTTTTAATATAGCCATTCCTAGGTATAAGTTTCCCACTAAGCACTACTTTAGCTGCATCTCATAAATTTTGGTATGCTTTCATTTTTATTCATATCAAAGTGATTTCTTCTTTGAGCCACTGGTTATTTAAGAGTGTATTTAAATACACATATTTTTGAATTTCCAAATTTCCTTCTGCTGTTGGTTTCTAATTACATTCCATTGTGGTCAGAGAACTAATTTTGTATGAATTTAATGCTTCTAAATTTATTGAGACTTGTTATTGATCTATCCTAGAGAATGTTCCACGTGCAGTTGAGAAGAATGTGTATTCTGCTGTTATTGAGTGGAGTGTTCTACAGAGGCATGTTAGGTGTACTTGGTGTATAGTGTTGCTCAAGGCTTCTCTTCTTATTGATCTTCTGCTTGTTATTGTTGGAAGTGAGATATTGAAGTGTTCAGCTATTATTGTCAAATTGTCTATTTCTCCCTTTAATTCTTTATCAGGTTATTGCTGCATATATTTTGGGGCTCTGTTGTTAGGTGCAAGTATGTTTATAATTGTTATATGTTTCTTAATGGATTGACACTTTTATCATACGAAATGTCTTTCGCTGTCTCTAGTAAAAATGTTTGTCTTAAAGCCTATATTGCCTGATATCAGGATAGCCAGCCACTCCAGCTCTTTTTTTAGTTGGTTTACATGATATATCTTTTTCTATCCTTTTATGTTCAACCTATTTGTTTCTCTGAATCTCAAGTATGTATCTTATAGACAGCATATAGTTGAGTACATGTTTTTTCATGCATTCTGTCCATCCTTGCCTTTCGATTGGAATGTTCAGTTCATTTAGATTGATGTAATTACTGATAAGGTAACATTTATGCCTGCCATTTTTCCACTTGTCTTCTATGTGTTACATCTTTTTTGTTTCTCTATTCCTCCATTCCTTTCTTCTTTTGTGTTAGACATTTTCTAGTATACCATTTGAATTCTCTTGTTATTTATTTTCCTATATTTAAAATTGTATCTTACACATTGCCCTGTATATTTTATAATAATCTAGCTCTGATTAATACCAAATTAATTAGTATAGTATATAATAATTTTGCTCCTATATAGCTATATCCCCTTCTCAACCTTTGTGCTTTTTTAAATACATTGTATGCCCATCAAAGTAGAATTATAATCATTGCTTTATGTAGTTGTCTTTTAAATCGAGTAAGGGAGAATAGCATTTGCAAACAAAAAATACATTTACACTGTCTTTTATTTTTACCTATATAGTTAACTCTATTGGTGTCCTTGATTCCTTGATGTGGATTTGAGTTATTTTCTAGTGTCCTTTCATTTCAGCCTGAAGGACTCTTTTTTGTATTTTTTATAGAGTAGGTCTGCTGGTGACAAATTCTCTCAGTTTTTGTTTATCTGAGAATGTCTTAATTTCACCTTCATTTTTGAAGGATAATGCTGGATACAGTATTCTTGAATGATAGTATTTTTCTTTCAGTGCTTCAAATAGTCCCACTGCCTTCTGGCCTCCATGGTTTCTGATGAGAAATCACTTGTTGAACCTATTGCAGATCCCTTGTATGTGATGAGTTGCTTCGTTCTTGCTGTAAAGATTCTCTCTTTGTCTTTGACTGTTTGATCATGATGTGTCAAGCTGTGGATCTCTCTGAGTTTATCCTACTTAGAGTATGTTGAGTTTCTTGGATGTGTAATGTTTTTCATCAAATCTAAGGTGCTTCTACCATTATTTCTTCAAATATTCTGCTCCTTTATCTCTCTCCTCTTCTACTGGATTCCCATTATGGCTGTGTCAATACTTTTGATGGTGTCCCCCAGGTCTCTGTTCGTTTTATTTCACTCCTTTTCCTTTATGTTCTTCAGACTTGCTAATCTCAAATGACCTGTCTTTAAGTTTGTTGCTTCTTTCTTCTGCCTGCTCAAATCTGCTATTGAATTAAGCCCCAGTAGTGAATCAGCTAAAATACATCATAAAGTCCAAGCTCATGCAGTACATTCATTGGAGAGCCCTGTGTGTCTTCACTAAGCACTTGTGTTTTTTTTCCCCTCACACAATTCTAACAAGCTTGGTTATCTGTTTCCAATTCACAGGAGACCAAATAAGAGGCTAGCTAAGACTATTCCCTTGACAAAAAAAGAAGCAACAGGAAAACTGTAAGAAAAAAATATTTCATAAACTGAAAGCATTAAAAGTCAGACTGTTTAGCCTAGGGAAAAACTGTACTTCATCTTTAAACAGCGCCTTGGTGGGTTTCTGTATTAAAGCATTATATAATAGTTGAGGTTCATGATAAAGATCTTAAACCAACACATAATAGTTACATGTATGTTCAGTAGCAGAAAAGCCTACTTAGGAAAACAGGGAAACATAGACTTTCAAAAATACAAAACATTTTAGCACTCAAGGGGGATTCACTTATATAAAATATCAAACTGAGATCTCTCAAAAAGTGATAATAGAGAAATAAAGTATTCTTTTGTTTATAACTATAGATATTTAATTATCAAATGTATATGTATATTTTAAACAAATTAGCAATTTTATTGAATGAATTGATAAATAAATAAATGGAAAAAAAATTTTTTTAGCTACCTCCACCTAGATTTCAAAGTGGGAGGAATTAGACCTCTTTTGTTGTTGTTTGTTTTTTGCAAAATGTCCCTCATTTCAATTGGGCCTCCTTTCACAGGATTCTGTGATGGAGATGACCCAGTTTGTCCAGTTTAACCTCTCTCTGTGTGTAGGAATCTTCTGTAAAAATCCATATAAAGTCATCATTCCAGTGTGGGCTTGAAAAGTTTCAGAGCTTAGCATGGCCCTGTGGTTCACTTTTCTAGATAATAGTTTCCATTTACTGCATAACTAGTCAGAAAGATTTTCCTACATTTAGCTGATGTCTGATGCCCTGTAAATATTCTACTTCTAGTTCTAGGATCAACATAAAGTAATCTTACTACTACCTCTTCTTCCTCTTTCAGATGCTAATTCTTTAAACTTTTGAACATAGCTGTCACTGCTTCCTTGGTCTCTTTTCTAAACTAAACGTGTCATTTCTCTTAACTATTTTTCATGTAACATACTTTTCAGAAGCCTCAACATCTCATTTACCTCCTTTTGAATATTATCAAATTTGTTATCAGTTTCTTAAGGTATAACATCAAAAACTGGACATATATACCTGATGTGTTCTGAATAAAGTAGCATATAATAATATTATCACCTCCCTATAATTGTACACTGTACACATTCAACTAATGCAACCTAACACTGAATCTGCTTTTCTAAAAATCACATCACACTCTTAGTTCCCATAAGAAAGGCATCACTCAGCTGCCTTTTAAAGACAAGGAGAAATTCTTTAAGCTCTTAACATATCAGAAAAAGAAGAAGAAAAAAAAAAGAATGAAAAAAATTTAAAGACGAGAAATTCAGCATTCAAAGCAAAAGGAAGAGCATCTACACAGTCACAGAGACATAAGAGAACGTCAAGTTCTACAAATTGCAAAAGTCTGTGATGTTTTATTTGTACATTTCCTTTCAATTGACTGACGACAGTAAGGTTTAGTGTGAATTTTAGCTTCACCATAATTTGAGTCAAATATAATTGCTGAGGATGATCTTCTGATTACCTACAATTGCTACACATATTTGATTTTTTACCGGACACTTTGGAACACAAGTGTACTCTTGAAAATTGCACACACTAAAATTAGAAAAACAACACTATGACATTTAACCTAATTAAATTAGAATTTACGGAAATTCTCAAAATACTCTACCTATCTGGTAGATACTGTCTTTTGAATCTGTTGGGCTGTGCCAGCCTCTGGATCCTTTTGGAGGGTCGGCTAACCAGTGCAGATGGGGGGATTGCCCAAATTACAGACCCTCTTCCACAGCTGTAGTAATATTGAGCCCTGCAAGTTGTAGAAGAGAAAAAAATTGAATGTAACAACATGAATTCAAGTTATTACAGTATTTTCCAACACTGATCTCCAGGCCTAGGGGAACAGGTATGACAGTTTACCTTTTTTTATTTTTTATTTTTTTGGGACAGAGTCTTACTCTGTTGCCCAGGCTAGAGTGCCCTGGCGTCAGTCTAGCTCACAGCAACCTCAAACTCCTGGGCTCAAGCAATCCTGCTGCTTCAGCCTCCCAAGTAGCTGGGACTACAGGCATATGCCACCAGGTCTGGCTAATATTTTCTCTATATATTTTTAGTTGTCCAGATAATTTCTTTCTATTTTTAGTAGAGATGGGGTCTCGCTATTGCTCAGGCTGGTCTCGAACTTCTGAGCTCAAGTTATCCTCCTGCTTCGGCCTCCCAGAGTGCTAGGATTATAGGCATTAGCCACCACATCCAGCCAGTTTATCTCTTTATAGATAAGCTAATGTCCATATGAGCAGAAATTAATTGCTTTAGAATTGGTTAAGTTTTAGCCATCAAGTTTTCCATTGGCTTCCATTATTCTACTCAAAACAGAGAAGGTTCTGGAATAAATTACATCTTCTAAATAGACCAAAATTTATATTGATGTAAAGACAATATATGCTGCTTTCAAACCTAAACATTCCCTTTAGCATCCATATAAATAATTAAATTTGTTACTATATTTTTAGTTTAGAGGATGAATGATATTGATACTTTGTGTTAAGGAACTCTGAGTTTAGGGATAAATTCTACCTGATCATGCGCATAGACTATTTAATCATTCATGGAGCTTGTTAACTAAGATTTGATTTAGGATAAGTAACAATATTGTTCTTCTTATCACCCCTGCCCCTCCCTCTTTCCTTATCAAAATATATTATATCACCAAATGAAAAAGGAAGGGTCATTGACTGCTTTAGACCTGGTGTGAACTCAGATTGTGGCCCACTTCTGCTTCTATTATTTTCCAAAGGACTTTTGTTCATTTAGGATGGGATCCGCATCCCTCTGCCCAAGCCTCCATCTGCATTTAAGCCTGTGTCCTCCTTGCTTATGACCACCCAGGATTGCAGCCTGTCTACACTACCATGCATCTGTTTTTAGAGGGTGGGGACTGCCTAGCCCTGGCTCCACTGCCTGGCTGAACTGACTCAGCCACCCCCACCCACACACACAGCCTAGCTGACACAGGCCTGAAACCTCCAACACTTACCTGGGATTAGACTTTTGCAGGAAATGGCAGCTTGGCTTGGGAATTGGAGACATGATGGAAAAGGTGATTTTGAGCAATGGGGCGCTTCAGAGAGATTAGACTCAGGGAAGGGGAGCACAGTGGGCAGGAAGAAGAGGGGATTAAGCAGCCAATGAGCAGCACAAAGGCAAGATGTGCCTGGAGAACAGGGTGAAGGGTAAAGGCCCAGGCAGTGGGTGAGAGGTACAAAAAAAGGAAGATGGGAGGATGACAGAGACAAAAGTCATTCTAGCATTCTCTCCAGTGGGAATGGCAAACACCAACTACCAGGAAAACATGTACTGACCATAATACTTATATCTTATTGCTGCCAATACCTAGAAGTACGTGGATGTTCTAGAAAATGGAGAACATAATACATTTTATCATGGTTATGAAGATTAAATAGGAGAAGTATATATGTCATTTTATAATTTACAAAGCACTATTCAGATGATTTTTATCAATGAACTTGTATATTTCTTGTAAATTTCATATGTGCTTACCTTTTCCTTACAGATATTGCAAAGGAATAGAATGCACCGCTGCTGCCTTCGTGTGCTTCTCCCCTCCCACAGTCATCCGTGCATCCAAGTCTCAGAAAAGATGCATCACAGCTGAAGGGGGCTGGAAAGGTCTTTTTACCCTTGGGACACTAAACAAACTGTGTTGTGTACCTGCATGTTGACTGTGACCCATCACAAGGTCAGCTGTGGAGTTTTGATGCACAAAAAGTTTCAGATTTTTGAAGCATTTCAAACTTCGGATTTTTTTTTTTTTTTTTTTTTTGAGACAGAATCTTGCTTTGTTGCCCAGGCTAGAGTGAGTGCCGTGGCATCAGCCTAGCTCACAGCAACCTCAATCTCCTGGGCTTAAGCAATCCTGCTGCCTCAGCCTCCCGAGTAGCTTAGACTACAGGCATGTGCCACCATGCCCAGCTAATTTTTTGTTATTATACTTTTAGTTGGTCAATTAGTTTCTTTCTATTTTTAGGAGTCTCGCTCAGGCTGGTTTCGAACTCCTGACTTTGAGGGATCCACCCGCCTCGGCTTCCCAGAGTGCTAGGATTACAGGCATGAGCCACCATGCCCGGCCCAGATTTTTGGATTAGAGGTGCTCAACCTGTAATTCTAAACTTGCATGCATGTAAGAACAGAGCTTCAAAGTACACGGCCGGAACGGTGGCTCATGCCTGTAATCTTAGCACTCTGGGAGGCCGAGGCGGGTGGATTGCTCGAGGTCAGGAGTTCGAAACCAGCCTGAGCAAGAGCAAGACCCCGTCTCTACTATAAATAGAAAGAAATTAATTGCCCAACTAATATATATAGAAAAAAAGAATTAGCAGGGCATGGTGGCGCATGCCAGTAGTCCCAGCTACTCGGGAGGCTGAGGCAGCAGGATCGCTTGAGCCAGGAGTTGGAGGTTACTGTGAGCTAGGCTGACGCCATGGACTCCTAGCCTGGGCAACAAAGCAAGACTCTGTCTCAAAAAAAAAGTAAAAGTCATACAGCAAAAACTGATAGAACTCAAGGAGACAATAGAAAATCCACAATTATGGTGCAAAAATTTTATACTGCCATGGTCAAGCAAACCGTATCATAACCCTGATAGAACTCGGTCACATCTAATATTCATGGCTCAAACATGATATCAGAGGGGATATTAGAAAGTATTTTTAACTGAATAAAAATGAAAACACAACATGTCAACATTTGGGAAATGCAGCCAATGAAATACTTAGAAGAAAATGCGTAACACTAATGACTATATTAGACAAGAAGAAAGGTCTCTAGTCAACAATCTTAGTTCCTACCTTAAGAAACCAGAAAAAGAGCAAATAAAACCTAAAGGAAGAAGAAGAAAGGAAATAATAAAGATCAGAGGAGAAATCCACGAAATAGAAAATAGTAAAATAAGATAGGAAATCAATAAAACAAAACATTGATAAACCTCTAGCCAGAATGATCAGCAAAAAAGAGAGAATGAGAGGGGAGATCATCACTCGAGATTGGACAGATATTAAAATGAACACATGAACAACTTTATGGAAATAAATTTTAAAACTTAGATGAAATGAACAAATTATTTGAAAGACACATATTACCAATCCTCATTTTGAAAGAAATAGGTCATCTGAATAGCTCTGTATCTGTTAAACAAATTGAATTGATAGTTAAAAACCTTCCCACCAAAAAACTCCAGGCCCAGATGACTTCACTCGAGAATTCCACCAATTTAAAGAAAGCACAAATATCAATTCTATACACTTTCCAACTGATTCTATCAGGATGGATTACCATAACACCAAAAACAAAGATATTACAACAACAACAACAAAAAAAAAAACAACTATAGACCAATGTCCCTCATGAACACAGATGCAAAAATTCTAAACTTTTGTTGGAGCACACACATGCTCAGTTTACATAATGTCTATGGCTATTTTCAATCTATAATGGTAAAGTTGGGTAGACTATAGGGCTAACTTTACTATCTGGCCTTTTCTAGAAAAAAATTGTGGACTTTTGAACAAAGTCGTATGTTGAAAGAGATAGAGAAATAGCCACCTTATCTTGGAAACCAAATTTCAAGTAAATAATAGTATCTTCACCTTTTTCTTGTTTCTTTAACCTCCCTCACTGCCTGTACCCATCCCTCCGCTCCGCTACAAACTTTTCTCAGAGGGCCAGTCCAGCTAAAAAGCTCAGTCACTCAACTAACATGCACCAAAAGCAAATCAGAAATATGTATCAAAAACCTTAACAACATTCTTACCTTTAGATATAGAAGTTGATTCATGTAATCAAACTCAGGGGTATAATTCAAAATTCATTAAATTTCATGCACAAATAAGTTCATTCACAACAGTGTTATATATGGTTCAAAAAGTTGGAAATATACTAAATCTCTAACCATAGAAAAATTATCTGTTCAATATATTATCTACTCTTCCTAAAAAAAAGGTGGAAAGATTTTTTAAGCATAAAAAAGCACTGCATAAACTATATATTTATTATTTCAAAATCTTAAGTAGGCTATATATTAAAATATGCACATATACAAAAAAGACTAGAAGAAAATATGACAAATATGAGTGATTTCTCTGAATTGTAGGCCTATGGGAGATTTTTGTGGCCTTTTAAAATATATCCTATATATAGAGTATAGAATTAAGCATAATAAATAAAGATATAAAGGAGAAGTCTAAAATATTTAATATGAAGCAAATGTGATGTACACATACCATGAAGGTGGTTTTAGATATCACTTGAGTGAATTTAGAGGAAAGGGATGGTATTTTAAGAGTTATATTAGGCACATGTCAGTTTAAATACAAATACTGAATAAATAATATAATGGTACACAAATATGGCAGCTTGCAAAGGTAGTGCATTAATGGCTCAAGTTTGGGGAATGTACCTTACAAGAGGATTTAACCAGAAGGAAAACACATACACAAACACACAAATACTAAAGATTCCTTTTGTTTAAAATATAGATATATGCAAATATATGCATAATTTTTTTCCTGGAAGAAATTTTAGGAAGAGGGACTAGGGATATGTAAGTTTCAGCTTTTCTTTTTCTCCCCTTCAATCCCTCCCAAGTAAATATCATCTCTTCTTTTTTTGAACTCCAAAAAAAAAACATTTCTTTTTTGGCTTTCTTACTTATTACTTTACATGTACATCCCTATAATAGATGACAAGCCCCATAAAAGTGATAATTATGTCTTACTTGGCTTTGCCCCTGTGATATGGTTTGGATGTGGTTTGTTTGTCTCCACCAAAAGTTAGGTTGAAATTTGATCCCCAATGTGGTGGTGTCGGGAGGTAGGGCACAGTGGGAGGTGTCTGGGTCTTGAGGTGATCCCTCCTAAGTGAGTTCTCACTCTCCCGAGACTGGATTAGTTCTCACCGGAATGTTCCTGAGAGACTGGGTTGTTATAAAGCCAGGATGCCCCTTGCCTTTTGCCTCTTCCCACGTGTGTGCTTCCCCTTTGACTTTCTCCTCTATGTTAGACAACATGAAAACAACATGAAAATCTCTCACCAGAAACCGAGCAGAAGTGCACCAAGCTTTTTGTACTTCCCAGCCCGCAGAACTGTGAGCTAAATAACCCTGTTTTCTCTACAAATTACTCAGCTTCAGGTATTGTGTTATAACAACACCAAATGGACTAAGACACCCTGCAGTATCTATCACAATATATTTGCTGAATCAAATTTAATGGTAATGTGTCACCAAACATAATGGTATAAGTCACCAACCATACAAGGACCATTCATATGTCTTCTACAAAGAAAATGAAATAATGTACCACTGGGATTCTCTTGTTCACACAAATAAAGTAATCTTCATTAAGGAAATTGTTGAATTCATATTCTTGAATAAACTTTTAAAAGCAAATAAATATACCAACACCTCAGCCTGTAAATATCATTCTGAAATAAAAAATCCAATTCAACCAATATTAGATTTAAAAGTAATTCTAGGCTGAAGCAAGAGGATTGCTTGAGGTCAGGAGTTCAAGACCAGTCTAAGCAAGAACAAGATCCTGTCTCTACAAAAATAGAAAAATTAGCCAGGCCTGGTGGTGCACAGCTCTAGTCCCAGCTACTTGGGAGGCTGAGGCAGGAGGATCGCTTGAGCCCAGGAGTTTGAGGTTGCAGTGAGCTATGATGATGCCACTGCACTCCAGCCTGGGTGACAGAGCAAGACCTTGTCTCAAAACAATAATAATGGTTAAAAAAAAAATAAATAAAAGTAGTTCTGTTTCAAACATGTTGAGTTGGAGGTTCCTGCGGTACCATCCCACGGGGGAATCCAGTATTTGTGAGAAAGGAGAGAGATGTAGGCTGGGGATAAAGACATGGCGGTCATCACCACCAGGAGGAAAGCAAAATCCATGTGAGAGGACAATGCACCCCCATGGGGAGAGTTCCCAGCAGGAAGGGAGAGAAGCCAAGGATGGGCCGCTGACAAAGAAAGAAGAACCCACAAAGGAGATTGAGAGGGCAGGTGAGGAAGACAGGTGGGAAGGCAGGACAGAGCGTGTCACTGAAGCCAAGGTGAGAACTTACAGGAGGCAGTGGCCTGTCCTGTGAGGGAGTCTGAACAGGGGATTTAAGGTATCCCTTCAACTTCTAAAGTGTCTTTAATCCCAAAATTGGGGATACTAACTTGAAAAATTAATGGCTTCTGCAGGATTCTTCAAAGATATCTTGAACAGACATTTTCCTAACTATAGAAGAATCCTTGTAAAACATCCTCATTTTATTAAAAAACAAAAATCCTCATAAGCCAAAGTATTCATAGATGTTATGAATGTACAATAGCTAAATATTAGATTTTCCTCTGGAAAAGTCTGCCTGTGGCATCAGATTAGAAACAAGTATGGAATCCCTAATCCTCAGTCAATTTGACTGCAGATTGGACAGTTTGTGGTATTTAGATAAAAGGACTGGGTCCTATGTTCATTTTCCCTAAAGACTCCTGATCAAGCAACCTGGTAACACACGCACGCTAACCTGTTAGGTATGTAGAGGCAGGAGACTTTCTTGTGCTGTGCAAGGTCTTCAAGCCTTTGGGTCAGCTGAGCCTGCAAAGCACCCTGGGAAACAGGGCGAATCGAATCCTGATTTCCCCACAACAGTTGTCTGTTAAGAAGCATAAAAATAAAATGACAAGAAAGTCACTGCTAACACAAATCTAAGAGATCTAAGAAAGCTCTTAACAGCTTCTATACTGATTTGCTTTCATTTCGAGAACTATTTCTAACACAGAACTTTTGAATTTCCAGGTATCAGAAATGGATAAACTCTAATATTTATGGAAGTGAAAAATAAGAATATAAGAAGATTGTTTTATCTATTGTCTTAAAACATGGTGACCAAAAATGAACCTATTAGAGATTAGTCCTGTTTCTGCCACCAAGTAAACACTGTCATGTTTATACTCAGGTTGTCGTAAAATGGGCGTGCCAACTACACTATGCTCCCATGTTGGGTGAATCCCTGTACCAAGTGGTCAGAAAATAAAATAGTGACAGAATACTATTAATAGCTCCCTTTGTGAAATACTCACCACGTGCCAGACACTGTGCTAAGTACTTTACAGACATCAGATCATCTAGTCTCAACGGCCCTATGAAATAGTTATGGTCGCTGTGCAGGAGATGAACAGAAAAGGAGAACTCAGCGCACCATTAACCTGGAAAGGCTTCATGGAAGAAAGTAAAAGGCACAGACGGCCAGAAATGAGCCACATTCCATGTTGGGGTCACAGTGGGAAATGGGAACGATTGGCTCTTAAACCAGGAATGTTTTGGTGGAAGTGGCAAGACCTATTGAGAGGTAATTAAGAAACATCTCTGGAATGGGTGAGGAGGGCAGAAGAAGGCCTTGAAACTAAGGAGGAAGAAACAGGTATCTCAGTAATCAACTTTGTACGTAATCCATTTTGCCAACTAGCTGGGCTCATCCCTTTAAAGGCCCCAGGTTTTCTTTTTTTCAACTTTTCTCGTGTTTTTGGATATCACCTTTCTTTCTCTGCTCCATAAACATCAGCCGGGGTCATTATTAGCAATATTAATGAATTAATATCTCCACCCACTACATTCCACTGATTGCATTTCCTAAATATTGGCCACACCACTGCCAATGATCGTTCTAAATGCAAATCTGATCAAGTTACCCCTTTGCTCAAGACACTTCAAAGGTTTCCAGTGAGTTTAGAATAAATTCCTAACTCCTTACTGTGGCTTACAAGATCTCTACAATTTTGACCAAGAGTGCCTGTCTCTCCAGTCTGTATATTCTTTCAGATCTTGGCTTAGTCTTTTGGAGCGTTCCCCTTGCATAGTTCAGTACCGTACCCACGAGGTACTCAGTGATGGTTTGATGAATGAAGAAATGGTAAAAACTGGAGATTTACCTGATAGTGACATGCAGCAGACGATATCAGAGAGGAAGGGAAAACTTCAGGGAGAATAGAAGTGAAGAGGGCCAGAGGAGGGGATTCGAGGTGGGGAAGACAGCAACTACGTTCCCAAAGAAGAGAGAGGGGGGTAGAGGCGAGAGCACCATGTAATAATGGAAGTCAAGGAGAGGAAGACGCATCAAATATATCCAAAAAAAAGCATCAAGTATAACTTAGACATCAAAAAGGATGAAAACTGAAAAACTAAAGGACGATGGGATTCAGCCAGGTGATTATCGGTGGTAATAACAAAAAGAGTGGAAAAAATGTTGGCTAGGGATAAATATAAAAGTTCAGGTGAAGATAGGCTAGGAGGGTCAGGGATTAGGAAGCAGGTATGATGAGATATATATATGTATAAGGGTTTTTGCATTCACTGTTTCAAATTCAAAGCAAAAGTTACCTTAGACACCACAATCAAATCAAGCACATAAAATATGATCCTGCTGGTGATGCCTTCTGGGAACTGAACCCTCATGAGATTATTAGCTGCTTAAAAATTTTGGCCATTAAAAACTAGAAAACACATAGTATGAACTAAAATCATTGGGGATGATGTAAAAGGCAAGAGATTTGGCTCAAAATAAATTAGAAGAAAAGGATCAATGGGGTGAGAAATAGCAGAGAATCTGCAGTCAAGAAAAATATAGCTGCAAAGTTCATCAGGAAGGGTGGAGAACAACTAACACATTAAAGTAACATATTATACAGATAATTCATTACTGCACCAGGATTTTTAAAATCACCTATATTTAGCAGTTCCATGGTTAACAATATCAAGGTAATCAAAATTTAATCTCTTATGGTCCATATCTAGGACTTGGCCCCAGAGTATAGGATACTTATCTGTTTGATGGATCCATGAAATATAACCAAGAATTTTAAAAGGCTTCTTTTTAAACATTAAAAATATGTTATGTATTAAATTCTCTTTTTCATGGGTAGGAACACACATTACATATATATTGATGAGAGGTACACATTGATATGAGATATGTTATTGAATATTGCTAGAACTGTCAAAATCTTAGAATACTCCCCTCACTCTATTTAACACCAGTAGAAAAATTGAAGGAATGATTTGATTAGGGAGCAGAGCTTAGAAAAGTTAAGTAACTTACCAAAGTTCACCCAGTTTTCAGGTACCAAAACTTGGATTTGAATCTATGTCCATTGCCCACAAAGCCCATTTCTTTCCATTATATCATACTGACTCTTTTAGAAAGGCATGGTCCCTTTGATGGTATGGACACCATAAGCAAGAAGATTGGTTTGGGGTTATTATTATATAATACAATAGAATATTGAAGGCTTATTCTTTTTTTTTTTTCTGTTCTTAGTTTATGTATAAAGGCTTATTCTAATATGGTGGCCTTAAAGGTTGAGAGAAGGATTAGAGTCAAGATAAAGATGAACAGGACCTAATTAATGATAAATGAATGATATGAGTCTGAAGGAGGAGTCACATATGATTTCTAGGTTTCTGTCTTTAGAAATAAGGTGGAAAAGCCATTACAACTGTAAAAGAAAATACAAGAAGTGGGACATGTTTAGGAGGAAGATATAGTAAGCCATGTCCTATGCTTCTGAGACATTCTGTAAGTATCTGAAAATACAGATTTAACACTCAGGACAATACATGAGAATAATCAGAGGTACTTATTTAGGAATAATCAATATTTACATTAAGAAATATATCAAGGAGATTGGAACTCCAGTGAACATGCCATTGTTTAAGTTGTGAAAGAAATGCTACCTAAAAAAATAGAGAAAGACTAATCATCAGGGAAATGCAAATCAAAACCACAATGAGATATCACTTAACCCCAGTGAGAATGGCCTTTATCAAAAAGTCCCCAAACAATAAATGCTGGTGGGATGCAGAGAGAGAGGAACACTCCTACACTGCTGGTGGGACTGCAAACTAGTTCAACCTCTGTGGAAAGCAATATGGAGATACCTCAAAGCGATACAAGTAGATCTACCATTTGATCCAGCAATTCCACTACTGGGCATCTACCCAAAAGATCAGAAGTCACTTTATGAAAAAGACACCTGCACTTGAATGTTTATAGCAGCATAATTCACAATTACAAAGCTGTGGAAACAACCCAAGTGCCTGCCATATCATGAGTGGATTAATAAAATGTGGTATATGTTTGCCATGGAGTACTATTAAGCTTTAAGAAACAAAGGTGATCTAGCACCTCTCGTATATTCCTGGATAGAGCTGGAACCCATTGTATCTCAAGAATGGAAAAACGAGCACTACATGTGCTCACCAGCAAATTAGTATTAACAGAACAACACCTAAGTTGACATATAGGAGTAACATTTATCGAGTGTCAGGCAGGTGGGAGGGGGGAGAGGAGGAGGGTATATACAACCACAACGAGTAAGATGTACAATGTTTGGGGGATGGACACGCTTGAAGCCCCTACTTGAGGGGGGAGGGGAGCATGGGCAATATATGTAACCTTAACACTTGTACCCCATAATACGCTAAAATAAAAAAAATAAAAAAATAAAAAATAGAGAAAGAGTTGGTAGAGAGAACCAGGAAAGAGAGGGTCTCAAAAGCCAAGGAAGAAAATAATGAAAACAAAATGGACTCCATGAGGAAACATTCAAAGAATTTGTGGTTGGCCAGGCTGGCAAAGAAAGATTGATGACTGATTTCTATCTCCAAAAAGTACATAACACAGGATAAAGAGATGAATGCTAAATAAGTATTTGATATAATAGGAGAGATTATAAGAATTTCAGAATAATCAAACCCTGGAAATGGATCTAGTATCCAGGCTGGGCACAATGGCTCAAGCCTGTAACCCTAGCACTCTGAGAGGATCGCTTCAGCTCAGGAGTTCGAGACAAGCCTAAGCATGAGGGAGACACCCAGCTGTACCAAAAAAGGAAAACTTATCAGGGCATGGTGGCACACGCCTGTAGTCCTAGCTACTCAGAAGGCTGAGGCAGGAGGATGGCTTGAGCCCAGGAGTTTGAGGTTGCTGTGAGCTATGATGACACCACTGCACTCTACTCTGGGCGACAGAGCGAGACTCTGTCTCTAAATAAATAAATAAATAAATAAGATACGAACAAATGATTTTTAATGTTTTAAAAAATTATTGAGACTTATTTATGTCCCAGAATATGGTTTATCTTGATAAATGTTTCATGTGCCATTTGCAATGAATGCACACAAAAGTTTCAAAAGAGTGTGTAGAGTCACAACCTGGGGTGGAGGTTCTCAAACCTGTCTGCCTACTAGAATCATCTAGGGAGCTTTTAACTTCCAAAGCTTAGGCTGCACCCTAGATCAGGGGTCCTCAAACTTTTTAAACAGGGGGCCAGTTCACTGTCCCTCAGACCATTGGAGAGTGCGCACTATGGGCCCAGGATGAGTCGGCTGCTAAGCAGAACAGGCAGCGGTGGCAAAAACACCCGGAGGGCCGGATAAACGTGCTAGGTGACCCGCATGTGGCCCGAGGGCCATAGTTTGTGGACACCTGCCTAGATCAACTAAATCAGGATTTGAGGGGATGGGACTCAGGTATCAGTCAGTATTAAAGCTCCCCAGCTGATTCCAATGTGCAGACAAATTTGAGAACCACTGATCAAGTGTTGCCTTCCATGTGTCGCCTCTAATAAGGTGGCAATATTGGTTCAGTGGATCCAGTGGAGTGGAGGTAGACGGATAAACTTGGAATGCGGGCTTAGTGGGCAGGCAAGAATAACACTTACCTACTTGATGTTACAGACACGATGATGACAAACAAGACCATATAATATTGCCTTACCTATCTGGAGTTCCCCATTGCTTTTTAGGCCTAGAAAGTTCTTGCATTTTCTTCCTAGAAAAAGAACTAACAATATATCAGCTGATTAATTCAAAGAGAGTATTTTTAAAATATCGTTATATCATATGATTTCTACTCAAATAAATCCCATGTGTGGGGGGAAAAATGCTATAGTTTATGTGATTTGAAGAGTGCTAAAAGGCTCAAAGTGTCCAAAAATACTATGGACCTAAAATTCTCACTTCCAGAAGCATTAATATAGTACATCATAAAATAAAGGCAGTAAGTATGCAACAAAAAAATGAGTATATTGTCTCCAGAAGACCCTAGGTAAAATGCACACTTGTTAATAGGAATAACCCTCAGCCAACATATTAATGTCATTTGTATATGGCATGGTGGCACTGGATTATGAAGAGATTTTACAGATAAATTTCACACGGAATGTCTGGCTTTGGCAAAACTATGAAATAAGCAAAATCTACTTTTGGTGCCATCAACCCCCTTTGTGCCCTGCTCTGCTCCTTTGAACTTTCCCTGATTGTTCTTTAATCCACCTGTAGTAGAGAGAGTTTGTGCTCCCCAGGTGTCCATGGGCTCCCCTCCATTTCCCAGCCTCCTTTGCAGTTGTCTGGGGCCAGTGACTAGTTCCTGTCTAACTTCAGCAGGAGTAATGGGCAGCACTCCCAGGGCAACGCACTGAAGAGCTGTAGGTCTCCGCCATCTTTCACTGTCCCTATTGCACACGTATCTCTGGAAGCCACACGTCCTGCACGGCAGATCTATAAGGGAGAGCAGAGCCAACCAGCTCACCTACACCAGGGCAGGAAGAGAAATAAACTTTTATTGTGTTAAGTCATTGAGAGCTTTGTGTTTTGTTTGTTACTGCAGCATTGCCTATGCAATGCAGATTAATGCACCACCTACGTAATAATTGTAGTTCATATTATAATTATTCATGTACTTGGTTGGAATCTGAGGGGTCCGTTGAATAACAACCCTTTTTGCCCACCACCATTAGAAATCAACTGAAAAATAGGCACAAGAGGCCGGGCATGGTGGCTCATGCCTGTAATCCTAGCACTCTGGGAGGCCGAGATGGGCGATGCTCGAGTCAGGAGTTCGAGACCAGCCTGAGCAAGAGCGAGACCCCGTCTCTACTATAAATAGAAAGAAATTAATAGGCCAACTAAAGATATATAGAAAAAAAATTAGCCGGGCATGGTGGCACATGCTGTAGTCCCAGCTATCGTGGAGGCTGAGGCAGGAGGATCGCTTGAGCCCGAGTTTGAGGTTGCTGTGAGCTAGGCTGATGCCATGGCACTCACTCTAGCCTGGGCAACAGAGTGAGACTCTGTCTCAAAAAAAAAAAAAAAATAGGCACAAGAGTCAAACAATAAAAATACTATCTCCATTACTGATAAAACTATATTGAAGAGAATAGTTTGAATCCCTAACACCTTGGAATTGAACATAGGCTCCAAAGCCGCAGGTCTGCCCCTGTAGGGGCTAAGCTTGCTCTGTGACAGAAAGTAGATCACAAAGATGCATGTACAGGCTGATGCCAACTGTAGATAGGCAGCTGCCAAAAAGTAAGGACCCAAAAGGGACCAGTTCTTTCTCCCAAGCCCATCAAACAGATGTCATTTTGGCCCCTAGAAGTTTAATTAAAGGGTGAGGCAAGAGGTTGGAGAGAATTATTCAAGGGAAGCTTCTGATGAACAAAGAGGGAGGTGATGGAAAAGCATTCTAACACTTGCCTGAGCTCTTTAACAGGCTCCCAACTCTCTCTGTTAGAATAAGCCAGGGGTCCTCAAACTTTTTAAACAGGGGGCCAGTTCACTGCTCTCAGACCATTGGAGAGTGCGCACTGTGGGCCTGGGACGAGGCGGCTGCTAAACAGGACAGGCAGTGGTGGCAAAAACACCTGCCGGGCTGGATAAATGTCCTGGGCAGGTCGCATGTGGCTCTCGAGCCATAGTTTGAGGACACCTGGAATAAGCCCTGGCCCTGATGTCAGGTGGGATTCAGTGCCTGACTTGGCATGTGCAAACCACGATGGGAAGAAATGGCCACAAAGCTCCTCTCGGAAAGCAGGAGGTGGGAGCAACAGTCGGCGACTTCCAAGCTTGCACATGCACGGAAAGGGGCCATCCACCCTGAAGAATAGGCAGAAATCCTTCACTCAAATTATCTATTTCCAAGTCACTCTGTGTTTATGTCACTGGCGTTGCCCTTCAGCATTTAGGAGTGACTTATTCCCCTCTCACCGCCTCAACTGTGCCATGGGAGTTATGCAAGGAAGGATTCTACATACACAGTCAGGCCATAACACAGGCAGTGGAAAAGTGCCCCTGAGCCCAGTGTCCGCAATCACTCTTGGGAGCATAGGCCACTTGGTCCAGCAAGTCTTCTCATCTAAGATTATTAGTCCGGAACCAACCTTGGAGCTTCTTGGTTTTATTATTTTAACATGAAGCGCCCTTTCCTTATACTTGGGCAAGTTACTTAACTCTCTGAACTTTAGTTCATTCATTCAACAAATATTTATTCAGCATTTACTCTGAATCAAGGTAGTGTTCTAGGGCTAAAGGCAATTGGTGAAAAAAACAGACAAAAATCCTTGGCCTCAAGTCAGGGCAGAAAGACAACAAATGAAATAAAGTAAGTATATAGTATGTTAGAGGGCAAAAGAGCTATCAAGAAAAATAAAGCACCTAAGGGGATGAGGTGCATGTGGCGAGGAGAGGGTTGCAATTTTCAATAGGGTGGCCAGGTAGGCATTATTGATCAAGTTACATTTGAACTATGACTAACTAAACAGATTTTCCAGAGAAAGATCATTCCATTCCAGTGGTAACAGCAAGTTGAAAGGCCCTGGGGAAGAGCATGCCTATATGTTTGAAAAACAACAGGAGGCCAGTGTGGTTAGCCTCATCTATAAATAAAAATAATTGTATCCATCTCAAAGGGTTATGTGCCTAGTACATTCTAACCACAGAGTGGGTACTCAATAAAGGTTAGTTCCTTTTTTCTTTCTCACCTGCAACACTTACATGATACCTTGTATGTAGTAAATGCTGATTAGATTGAATTAACTTTTTTTTTTTTTTTGGAGACAGAGTTTCACTCTGTTGCCCAGGCTAGAGTGCTGTGGTGTCAGCCCAGGTCACAGCAACCTCAAACTCCTGGGCTCAAGCGATCCTGCTGCCTCAGACTCCCGAGTAGCTGGGACTATAGGCATGCGACACCATACCCAGCTAATTTTTTCTATATATTTTTTAGTTGTCCAATTAATTTATTTCTATTTTTAGTAGAGATGGGGTCTTGCTCTTGCTCAGGATGGTTTCGAACTCCTGACCTTGAGCAATCCTCCCACCTCGGCCTCCCAGAGTGCTAGGATTACAGGCGTGAGCCACCGCGCCTGGCCTGAACTAACTTTTAATTGTTTAAAATCTAAACTTAGTTTAGCTATTCTATAAGGGAAAATCATGGAACTATTAATAAATCAGGTAAAGTGATACATTTAAGATATTTTAAATTCTTTCATTGCTCAAAGAGTTTGCTGGACAAAATACAGGTTAGAAGGTAGTAAGAACAGTACCCCATCGCCACCCCAGCTGCTCGGGCCTTTCTTCCCCAGTGTTTCACTGGGGACTGTTCTAACTCACTCTGGACTCATTCTGGACTGTTCTAACTGCTCCCTTTCCTACTGCAACCAACCAATCTGCATCTTGGTTTCTCAAGACTCTGCTGCTTAATCCAAGGGTTCCCAAATGTTGTTTGGGATGCTGATGTTTCCCAAATCCTTAGGGGACCTATGAAAGTAATAATGGGAGTCTGCAACCTTTTGAACATTTCACAAAGTCAAATGGAATCCTGCACCACCCTCAATAAGGCTGTAGAAGCTACCCCAAACACTAAATTTCTTTCTGAATGATATCACCTCCATATGTTACTTCATACTGACAAAAGACTGATTAAAACTTACATGTGTCTACTTTTTTTTAAAAAAAAATTAAGAAATGTTTGTTTTGTGAACAACAACAAGGAAAGATAATCGTTCAAGACATGAGATTGTGGTAGTGGGTAGAGAGAGATAACCCAAAGATTCTTTGGTGGTGAAAAATTTGCAATCTGCTATATATCTAACATGATGCCACCCCCTAGCCATGCCTAGTCATGTTCATCTAGAAACAGTGAAAATACTGTTCATTGCCAGGAAGAAAATCTACATTCTTAGCCAACAAAAGAACGGCTTTGCCATTGCAGATACAGCGTCACCCCTGCTGTGAGAGCCCCTGCCAACTTTCCAGGGAGGGTGGCTTGGTGGAAAGAAGGCAAGCCACGGTTGCAGACAAAACATCTCATTATATAGTAATCTTCTAAAGCAAGTTAGCTCCTGACTTCCATCATCACCCCAGCCAAGATTCCCCTTGCTACCTCTTCTTTACCAGAAACATAACAGGGTTTCTTCAATTAAATGTATCATTTTGTGCAGACTACTGACAGTTTCCTAGTTTATTCCTGTAGATACTTAAATTGGATTGTTATTTCAGCTGCAAGGAATCTCATTAACGTGTGCTAATTCTCTGTTAAGGTCTAATACCTCACCTTTTCACTCACTTTTTATGCATTATGTTCCCATAGCTGTATCTCCAACCTACATCTCTTAATCTTAAGATTAAGACGGGTTTCCCATCTCTCTTGGGAACTACATTACCTCACAATGTCTTGTGTTTCTGTTCAGACACAAAAGAATGTAGTTAAAGGGTTTTAACTCTTGAGAGCAATTTTTTTTTTTCTAATGAGGATTACATTGCCATCCAATGTCTTCATTGACAATTTCCTATTGTTTGTCAACAGCTAAAAAAGTTTTTGAAATCCTTACTTTGGGTGCACAGTATGAAATACACGTTTATATAGAAATAATTATGGAAATGATTTCAGGTCTCTACTGATGGGGTAATCTAATAATTCTGTCTTTCAGACACAATGCTCTTTTATATTTTACTATCTTTCTTACATGCAGAAAATATTTTCTTTCATAGCTAATTAGGCACAACACATTTGTATGAGGAAGAAGTTTTTAGAGGATACAGGTGTAGACAATGGAGATAGCACAATTTCCTTACACAATCGACTCCAAATTAACCAACCAAACAGAAGCAATAAGCAGCAAGAAATCATAACAATAATCATTAAAATGTTTTAACTTACTAGGCATAAACTATTTTCCCTGTCTAGTCACAGGAGAGTTTGCTCACTCAGTATATACTATTTGTTCGAAGTAATGTGGCATTTTGAGTAGATATTTGGTAATATTCAGTAAGCATTATTTCTACCCACTCTAGTACTTAGCTACCAAACCACTTTGGGAAAAGAATTTCTCTAAATTTCATTTTCTCTCAGTAAAATTTAATTGATATATCCATCCTACCTACTTTTCCGAATTCTTGTGGAAAAACATTTTTTTAACAAACTGCAAAGTATTACACAAAAACGGGGTAGTAGTATTTACTGCATGGAAGAGAAAAAAAAATGCTATAAAGCATAGTAAATAGAAAATACAAAATGAGCCTAAGTAATAACTATACATGTAAATAGGTTAAACAATAAAAATAAATATGAATGGTTTTTACTCACTTACTTAAAAAGTGGATAAAAACAAAATCTGGTATTATTTACTTCTCACCTACATGAAGCACTGATATGAGCTCCTGGTATTTCTCCAATGATTCCACAGGATGAGAATCTCCTCTTCAAAATGCTTGGGACCAGAAGTGTTTCAGATTTTGGATTTTTTTTGGATTGGGGGATATTTGCATACACATAATAAGGTATCTTGGGGATGGGACCCACAGCTTAACATGAAATTCATTTATGTTTTATATACATTTTATACATAGAGCCTGAAGGTAATTTTATACAGTATTTTAAAATAATTTTGTACATGAAACAAAGTTTGTGTTAAATATTCACGTGTGAAATTTTCCATTTGTGGTATCATGTCAGTGCTCAAATCGTTTTAGATTTTGGAGCATTTTCGATTTTGAATTTTCAGACTAGAATTATTTCCTCTTCTACCCACATCTTAGCCAAACCAAGGGTAAGCATCTGTTTTCAGCATTTATTTGTGTAGAATGCATGTGCATACACACACACACACTTTTTTTCCTTTTTTTTCGTAGAGGGCACTTTCTTGAAATTTCATTAGCTGCTGTACTTGAATTACAGGCAAGGGGCACTGGGATATAAATCTGGAGCTTCACGAAATCTATGACATGAGATTGATAATGCAGAATCCCAGTCGCTTAAAGGTTCAGGTCCAGTGTGCAACAAACCTAGTATCTAGCAAACAAGTGAAAAACTAAGCAAATATAAGAAGGGTTGTCCTACATCTCAATCTTCTTTCCCAATTTATCTTCCTTCATTTCTCTTCCCACAGGAACTATGATTAAGAAAGGGCCTTCTGACAAAGGGAAAGAAAGCATAGGAATCACTTTCTCAAAAAATCTCAAGATGGACTTTCACTTCAAATGCCCCAGAACAAGTCAGCCCATCCAGCATGGCTGGCCCACTAGTTTAGGTCTATGAGAATGGTACTATAGCTACAGTCTTACCGTGTCCTTGTAAAGCCACCGTAGACAAGATTTGCTAAAAGAAAATAAAAGTAAAAGCAAAAATTAGATTCAACGGAAATTAAAGACATGATAAAGATAGCATCACAAATCAAAAGAGGAAGTAGCTAGGAAAAATAACTATTTGGAGAAATGGCCAAATTAAATATGTCATACTACGTACAAAAATAAAACACAGGTAAATGAAGGGGTTAAATATTTTTTAAGTAGAGAAAAAATATAAAAGAATATCTACTGGATCACTGGATGTTAGTCTTTTAGAGTTAAAAATGACAAAGATATAAAAGACAACATAAATAGATTAAAATACTTAAAACTTCTGTGTGTCAAAAATTAAAACTTAAAGAAACAAAAAGTTGGAGAAATATTTGGCAACAAATTTGCTAAAGCCTTAATAGTCTTAACATTTAAAGAGTGTAAAAATACAGATTAAGAAGAAAAACATAAAGCTGTCAGAAATTAAATAGATAAATGATATGAACTGAATTTATATTTGAAGACATATAAAGGGCTAAAAAATATAAGAAAAGGTTTAAACATTTTTGTAATCACAACAATGCAAATAAAAAAGGAGGCTTTTTTAAACTATCAAGTTGGTAGGAATTTTTTGCAGAAGATAAAAGTATTGGAAGGGCCAGATGAGCTGAGTACTGCTGTATTGTTGGTAAAAGTTTAAATGAGTATACTTTATGAGAAAGAATTTGGCAGTATATATGAGTCAGTAATGTTTATATTCCTTAATCCAATTCTATTTCTAGAAATGTATCCTAAAGAAATAATTCCAATTGCAGGCAAATATTTATGTACAAAAAAGTTCATTGGTTCATTGTGGTGTCTTTAACAGTAGGAAATTAGATAAACCTGAATGTCCAAATCAAAAGAAAGTTAAATAATTGAAAAATCATATTTAGAATTTTTTTTTGAATGTGGGAAAATGTAGGCAATTATAGTATAGGAAGTATCCAAAGGCCTCATAATAGGCCTCAGAATGATGGATTACTCCAGACAGAGTCTCTTGAGAATTTTTAATCCTATCTGAGAGTTCTGAAATAACATTTTCTACCCTCTGGAATGCTCTGGGTAAAGGAAAGTTGGTGACTTTGGCAACAGACAGACGTGGGTCAAACCCTAGTTTTGTTACTTAGTCAACTACACAGTCTTGGGCAAATGACTTCTTTGAGATTCAGTTTCCTCCTCTCAGATAGGAGGATAATAGGTAGGTCTGAGTAAAGATCAGCGTCATATTTATATAAAGCACCTAGTATAGTAGACGGATGGTAGTTAGAATTATTAGCTACAACTTCAGCGAATCAATGGCTTTAATAGAGCATTGTGGGAAACAACGAACTGTTTAACCCATTTGTGCAAGCATGGTGCCATTATGGAGAGAACACAAATGAGTAAGATACATCTCTCTTCTCAAGGAGTTTACAGCCCAGTAGGAGACAGGCTATGAACTTAAAAAGAAAAAAAAAAAAAAAAAAGTAAATGAAACTTTTAAATTCAGATATTTTCCATTGCTTTACTTTCTAAGGCTAAATGGACTCAGATCTAAGAGAAAGGGGACAGTAGTCTATGAAAATGCCATGCTGTCACCCAAGAAAATTACAGCACTAGTTCTATAGATTTTTTTTTATGTATTTACCAACTGTGGTTTTCAGCTTTATATACAGAGGTCGGAGAGACAGTATGATACTGGGTCAACCCTAAAGGACCATCTATAAATACTGACAATATGAATGAATAACACTCTTTCCAATTGCCTTTTTACATGCTATATTTCTCCCATCGGTAGAGCTTTCACTCTTTATTTTAAAAAACACACTTTATTTGATAGGATGGAATAGCTCTCAGGTAGCTTTTATTAGCTAATGTCCCAAGCAAAGCAGAGTTACTGTGATTTCCAAACCCTTCTGCAGATTAGAATCAGCTGGGAATCTTTTTAAAATTCCAGGTCCCAGGCCACATTCCAGATCGATTCAGTCACACTCTCTGGGGGAGGGGGACACAGGCCATCAGTATTCTGAAGCAGACAATGTTTGGGAACCACTATGATGTCTTTTAATGGCTAAGACACTGGCTCTAGAATCAACCTGGAATCAAATCTTGGCTCCAACCTCTGATCTTGAGCAAGTCTACTCAAGTTCGTGTAACTCAGTCTCCTCACTGTAAAATGGGTTCTTCTGCCTCAAAAGGTTGTTTATGAAAGTTAATAACACATGTAAGGCACTCTGCATAATGTCCAAAACATAGTAAATGCACAATAAATGGCAACTACTAGCAATGCTAAAAATCCAGGAATTAAGATTCTGCTTAAATTTCTGTGAGTAAAAAAAATATTTGTTTAAGTAATTGTTTAAGAAGTGTTTACTATTAAGGGTTCCAGCTATGAAAATTACCATTAGTAAAACATTAAACCTAATTGTAAACAGGTACTCACATGTATTTTCACGGTGTTATTTTCTGTGTTTATACCTCCTCTCATTTCTAAAGGGATTTGAGTTGCTTACATAAACACAGACACTATAATAGGATGTATATGTTTTAAGATGAAAAAATTTAAGGAGGGAGGTGGAAAAAATAGTGGAGGGGGAAGAGGAAGGAGAATAAATGAAACAAGGGAAGAACATACGACAAAGACCAGCACAGTCGTGTATCAGAGCATTCTACTATTGAAAGCAAAGACCAACTGTTGTTTAAATGCTGGCATGTTTTTCGGGAGGAAGGGTGGAGCCAGGGCTTTTCAGCACCGTTAATTTCTGGGTGTAATCTTCTCATAAGCAGACCACTTGACCACGTGCAAATGCAAACAGGCGCAGCACCGGCACGGGCGGGTCCCGGGGACAACCGGTCTCTCGGTCTGCGCCATAAACGCGCAGGAGCGATCGACTTCCAGTCGCTGAGCTCCTGATCCGTGTTTCCGGCGGGAAGAAGTTTGCGCAGGTACCGGGCCGGCGTGGACGTGCCGCCCAGCCTCCGCCAGCATCACGTCCGGGCTGGGGTCCCCGGCCGCGTGGCGCTCGCAGCCGAGAGGACGTCGAGGCCAACGTGGGCCGGGGCAGGGGCCCAGAGTGCTGGGGGCTGCCTCAAAATTTGAATATTAAAGAAATTGGCGAGGCAAAGTCATTACTTGTCACCAAATGTTTGTACCACATATCTTTTAAATAAAAAAGAAATCTCTCTTGTGGGGCCTACTGGGTGTTACAAGGCATAGAGTAAATCATAAGACTTGGATCATGGAAAGCGAACAGATATATATTCTTACTTTTTCTCCTTCTTCAAATCACTCTTTTATAAGTGTTTTATGAACCAAGCTAAATTAAGAAAAGTAAGAAGTTTTCGTAAAGATATAAACGACAACGTAATTCAGATTTTTCCAAAGAATTATTCTTCAGAAAGGTTAACCTTCCATGCAAGCTCTTACAAGAACCCATCTTACAAGGCCCTTTCTCAAGAACTTTTATTTCCAACAAAGAACTGGTCAGAAACATATTAGCCTGAAACAACTTCTGTAAATGCTAGAATGGGAAAATTAAGAGTTCTCACGCTACCAAAATTGTATTTAAAAGGGGAAGGTTAAAAATTTAAACAAAAAAAAATGAAATCAAAACAACTTTAGGCGCGGGCGCGGGGCTCACGCTGTAAATCCTAGCTCTTGGGGTAGGCCGGAGGCGCGGCGGATTGCTCAAGGTGCAAGGAGTCATAACCAGCCTGAGCAAGAGCAGACCCGTGTCTCTACTATATAAAAATGAAAGACATAATATGGCACTGATAAAATATACTCCTTAAAAACATTAGCCCGGGATGTGGGACCATGGCCTATAGTCCCAGCTACTCGCGGAGGCACTGAGGGCAGAAGGATCGCTCGGACGCCAGGGAGGTTGAGGTTGCTGTGAGCGAGGCTGACGCGACGGCATCAATCTAGCCTGACAACAAAGCGAACATCTGTTCTCACAAAAAAACAAACAAAAAAAAAAACTTTAGTATAATTCTTGGGAGTATGATCTTATAATCGATGAGTGCTGGGTGTTGCTCTAAAACAAATTTCTAAACATGTATAAAGCAAACAAAATAATACACAAAGAACGTAGTGATTGTATTGTAAAGACAAAACAACCCCAAGGATGATTTTTTAATTCTACTTCTGCATTATATGAATGGGTTCTTTTTTTCTTTTCCTTTCCTTCCTTTTTTTTTTATTTTATAAATGGGTTAATAGGGGAATGGTAATGAATGGCGTCTGATGGTTTGTAACATTAATTTTCTAGTAACCTGCACAGGTTTCAAAGGGACCTGTACTTTACTCTAATAATGGACTAGGAATGAGCAGACTGATGAAAACTCGAGGGAAAAAGTGATGGGCGGCTCTTAAATGGAGGGGTCAACTGAGCCGCACTAACCCACCATCAATTTTCTTGGACTCCCCACAGGTGGGAGAGGCCAGACATCTTGTGCGCTTGCCCAAAGGGTGAGCTGCAGGAATACTCACACTCGACTCAACCACCAAGAGTCTTGCCAAAATAATTCATCTGAATCTAAAACCTCTTATCTATAATTGCAGTTGGCAAGGAATAGGGGAACAAAGGAACAGTTTAAAGATGTCACAAGAAGAACAATTCGAATATTTTTACCCAGTTTTTCTGATAATAAAGGTTGTTCACAAAGGGAGAGAAGATATGGTTTAAGTGATAAAGAGTAACAGAGACTGAAAAAAGACTGTACGGGGAGAAACGATATGTTTCTTTCCCCTTTTAGTTCTTAGTTGAGACATTCTCCTGAAAACAAGTGTCAGATTAAAAGAAAAACAAGCAGAAGTTTGTGAACACGGAGCTATACCTATCACCAGGAGAGAAAGTATTTCTCTCTGAAGGCAGTGGCTCAGGGGCTTTGCTTAAATGGTATTTTAACAAAGGCCATAAATCTTATACAGTGACAAGACAAAGGAGAGAGCAGTTCCGGTTTTCTAAGAAGGCAGGAGAATGTGGGAAAGATACTAAAATCTGTTCTCAGCTTTCT